TTGCCAGGGTAAACCTGAGAAGTTAACTGGTGTGAGTTTGACAGGTAGCCTTAGCAACATTAGCATTTGGCTATGAGTTGTTTTGGATCGTTTCCTGATCTAACACCCCAAGTTCTTAAACATTTTAGCCTGTGACGCCATAATTTATAAATATTCATTAATTCACTTGATATTTTTTAGGGTTAATTAATATGTATTTTTAGATGCATACATTTTTTTTGCAACATTTAAATATTTAACTTTAAATTGAATGTTTTTTTTTATAAATGCAATGGGACAATTAATTATTAAATCAGGAATTTTACAGTTTAATGGTATATTTAATATTAGAATGAGGTTTTAGATAGATAAATGATGCTTATATTAACTAAATACAGAATATAAAGCCATGTATTTCATAATATATTTTGGCCGTCTATATACCTGTGGGATCACATGAATAATTGTGAAAATAATTGCATCCAGCAGGGTTGATCAGTTTAGCTGTTCATTCTTTAAGTGAAGCTCAAGGTTCGATTCTTCTGTAAAACACAGACCTGCAGCCGTCGTATCGATGTTTGGTGAGATGAGTCTCCGCTCTGCTGTGGCGTCTTCTCTCATCTCCCTCCTTGTTCTTTCGATCCTTTAATCCTCACAGCGAGATAGGTAATCCGCTGAGCAGCCTGCCGCAGTCGGCGGGCTTGGATAAATAATCCTATAAGGAGCGAGCCGTTGAACTTTGCTCCCGACAACATGACAGTCGTTTGACGCGAGTGGGAGACGAGAGGCAGGAAACATGTGGGAATGGGACACGGTAAGACTTTTTCAGCGCTAATAACAGGATCTAGGCTATGGAAATATGGAACAGGGGTTGTGTATTAGAGCACAGAGAGCTGGAGGAGTTTTATTTACTTACTCAGGCAGCTGCCAGGTGTGTCTGGGTTTATTTGCCATTTCCTCCTCCTCTGCGGAGCTGTGACATTTTACATTATGATTTAATCTGATTGCCTCTGTCCACTTTGTATTTTTAGTGGTTTGAAATCGGCTAGATTTATATTGTCAATGTATAATTGGACTGTAATCCTGCTTGAAAATCATTTGCAGCTTTTTCCCCAAACGTTCCTGCTCTATCTGAACATTTTAAATATGTTGTTAACTTCAATTTAAAACAGACAGCAACATTTTATACAGACATTAAGAATATGAACTGTGTAAACGATCTCATGGTAACAAATTCAGAGTATCTTTATAATATCTACCTCTTTAGTATTACACTTTATTACCCATCAGCTGACACACACACAGCCTTGGAGCCAAATAAACTCCTGTAGAGTTTGTCAGACTGAGACAAGAAGTCACAATGCTACGATAAAGTTTTAATTGGCCTCTAAAAGCGGTGGAGAAATATTGCCTCAAAACTTTAAAGTATCAGGCTTTCAAATAGGAATATTTCATAATGTGTACACCTTGGTGTATCACATCTTTGGTGTAGGGGGGTCCGGGAGTATCCTCCCCCGGAAAATGTTGAAAGTTAAACTCTCAAACGCTATTTCCTGTGTTTTGAAGTGGAATGCAGCTAACTTTTTTGTCTTTTGTTACAACACTACTTTTGTCTTGACACTGGGAAGTATGTGTGCTTGACTAGAGGTGGAAATTTCATAAAGAAGACATGAGATCATTTCCAGGTACAAGATTCTGTTTCATAGGTTAATTCAAACAATTAGAAAGTGTAATGCAGCAAAAAAAGCTGCTCAAATCGTGGTGCTGCCTCATTTTTGATGCTTGTCCTTATTGAGGTCAGACGCCACTCTAGGGCATCCTTGACGACTCCAGTAAAGTGTGTCCAGATACGTCTGATGCGTCTGCTGCTGCTGTGGTCAATGGCAGACAGCGGCTTTGCTAGATTTGCTGTGTTCAATGGCTAAAAAGTAGTTTTTATATTTTTTAATAGAGAAAATCCACTTCAAAACATGGTCTGTGCAGTCAGTTTATCAAGTTTACCATCCTGCCTTAAAATATTATTTACATATTTATATATACTCACATCCCTGCATACCTATGGTGCGCTTTCACTGGGAATCCCCAGCAGCAGCTGCCTCAGGTGTTTCTGACTTCCATACATCTAATAGTTTCATTCATTTCATAGTAAATAGTTGGGTCTTTATCAGTGAAATATGCTGAACAGAATATCCCCCCTTTTCTGGGGGATGAACAAATGAAACAACATTTTGAGATCTAGTTTCTTTTTATTTAGCTGATAAGCTCCTCTTGTTTGGCTCAATTCATCTTCATGATTTAAGCAGATCATGACCTTATCTCTCCTTTAAGCCGGGCATACACTGTACGATTTTTTTTTTCAATTGTTGCACGCAGCTACAGCTCACGCTGTATGACAAATCCTCAGGGTTTAAAAGTTACAGCTCATGACTGATGTTCTCACACTTTGCGACCCAACACTCTGATGCGATCTACCTGCTCACACTTATGTCTAAAAACCACGTTTGACTCAGCTCCACAGTGAGATGGCGCTACTCGGACTCTGTGTATATATGATAGTCACCCTAAAAAGAAAAGGCTACGACGTATTTGGACAAAGACATGGCTGAGCAAACATGGCTACTACAGTCTGTCAGTTTTACAGAAAGAACTCCATTTCACCCGCACCCGCCATGCTTCGTCTGAGAGGAAGAAGAAGAAGAATCCTTGTTTGTCCACTGAGCGATTAGCCCACAAACACCGTACTATTGCCCACTGGATTTTAAACATGTTTGATTTTCTCCTGACTTCACGGTTCCTGCCTCTCACGACCGCCTGATCCTCCCATCGTTATCCCCTGTAAACTATACGCCGCACGATCAGGCGGAAAGTCGGCCCAATCGAAAAAATTTTCGTACAACTGGAAAGTCAACTCGAAAAGGGCAAAAAAACCACACAGTCTAGGCCCGGCTTCAGGTTTTCCTACACCAGAGATTAAATTACAATCTTTTTCATGTAATTCTATAAAGTTTTCTGTATTTTGAAAGATAAGGTCACAGAATGCCTCATCAGTCAAAACATCTGGATCCATGTTTCCTGGGGGGTGGGGTGTATGTTAGATATTTTAGAGGTAAAAAATAAATCTTAAAGCTGAGTTTTCCTTACTTCTGTGAAACCAGTTAAACTCCACAGATGTAATCATGAGTCTGTTTGCATTTCACTTCTTTTGGATTGTGCCTACAGAAGTTGAGTGTCTGTGTTTATCACATTGTGATGACAGGAAACCAAATGTTTTTTTTTAGTATTTTTTTTCTTCCTCTTTTTTAAGCTAATTAACACCCTTTATGCATTGTGAGTGTGTTGCTTGCACGTGTCAGCAGTCTGTTGCTCTGCAGACCTCACACTCTGCAGCGCAGTGACTGAAGTCCACAGCCTGCAGAAGCCCTACTCTTTTGTTTTCCCCTCCAGCTTCTGTTGCTGGAGAGCCTGAGAAAATCCTAAAGCTGGACTAGATGTTTTCTGCACACAGCTGGACCTCCTCCTCATGTCAGTGTTTGCTGACCAGGAAGTAAACAATAAAATGGGTCACCTTTAAAACTTGAGAGGATACAGCACTGAACAACCTCTCAGGATCGACGCATTTCTTTCTCTGGATGGTTTCAAAAGTAGAGCTGCACTATGTGGTGGTTAAAACGCCAAGTTGTCCTTCTACTGCCTTCTGAGAGCCCAACCTCTGCCACGCAGTAAATTTCCCCCCAAATTGTGACTTAAATCGTTGCTAAAAGTCGTACATTATTTTGACATTTACCAAATTTTAAATGATTATTCCACAGCATGAGACAAACCTCTGGTAAAAATGTCCTTAAAATCTGTTTAAGTTTCTGTTGATCCTGCTAACCAACCAAAATGTTCCCTTTTCTTGTGTTTTTATCTTCATTAAAATACCTCCGGTCTTTTTCAGGCTGATGCAGAATAAAGAATAAAGAATAAAATCAGACTGATGCGTCTGAGCAGGAGCACAGGACTGCAGATGATAGAATGAGTCCCACAGATATCGTGATCTTCAGCTAATAATTCTGATAAAAAATAGAGATCTAATATCATTATGTCCCCTCTGAGAAAGAGGATTTACTTGCTGACATTCAGGCTGGTACTCTGATTTTTTAGGAGCCGTTGGCTGATATCTGAGCACCGCCCTCCCAGGGCTGGCTACGCTGAAAGAGAAAAAAATTACACTGAAATCAGGCCGATATGCTGACTTTTAATGAGTGCTACGGCCGTGGAAAATGTGTTTTTAAACCCTCCTTTCTTTCTTCTTTGGCTGATATTTATTTTAATGTCAGTCTAAAATCGTTTTGTCCCCCTCTGGTAACAGCCTTGGTCGATCTTTGCCATTTTCTCAGAGCTTTTCTAGTAAACCTCCTCTCCTCTTTTAGCTGCTGGCTAGACGAATTGCAGCTGAGCTCATTTCCCTCCACTGGATCACCCCACCCAAACATTGATGCAACTTTCAGCTTAATAGTGTAACATCTCAGGGTCTTGTTTCTAAGGAAACATAATAGAGCCGATCTATGGACATAATTCAATGAAATTGGACCATTTCTAAAGCCTCTATCAGCTGCGCCTGTTTTCCCCCATATTCCGAACGTATGAGCGGGGCGCTGGTTCTGCTTTGGGTCTGAGTCTTTGTCAGGCAGCTTCACTCGCTGTCAGGCTCTGTGGCTTGACGGGGATTAATGGCCTGAGCTGCATTTTGCATGAGTGTCGTGAAAGTTTTACGATCCTGCGCTGCAGAGTGAGGCATTTCACTTCTCCTCAGCAGGCCTGTTTTACACGTCCCCTTTCCATGGAAACCATGAGATGTTGAGGGAGTCGACCACTCTGTGCACAGTTCCTGTATCGGATGTCCTCTGACCACATTCTGTGGAGCTCTGGAGAAACAGCCCATTTTCACTGCAGTAGATTACACTGCAGATAAAAATATGGTGAAAATAGATGATAGTTTTATTGTTAAAGTGTATAAATGTTCTATTGTTTCCTCTTAGGAGTTGAAAAAGGATCCCAAGGAGGTCAAAGAAACCAAAAATGAGCCAAAAGAGGAGTCCAGCCAGCCCCAGGGGAGAGACAGGAGTAACGTAGCCAACCTGGTGAAGAGGATAAGTGTCATCGGCATCCCTACTGGGGGCTTCCAGCCGATCCCCCCAGCAGCATCAAAGAGTAAGAGTTTCCTCTGAACGTCCTTTGGTTGGGATCAATACCACAACACCTCTGTTTTTGGTTCTTCATGAATCACTTTAACCCGCAGAGACCAGAAGACTCCTTTGGTCCATTCGTCCAAAACTGTTAAAATCTAAAAAATAAACAATTTTGTCCTGAGTCCATCTGAGTAAAAGCCCTTTAGAGCCACACATCTTATATACCCTTTAAAGTCGTAGGGAAGTCATAATTGAATATAAAATAATTGTGGCTTAAACATGTATATAAATGTGCTCTTTATCAGACTATATTGTCCCAAAATTTAGAAGATTTAAATTTTTTTTAAATCCTTAAACTCATTATCTTCTGCAGGCCAGTTAGTTATACGTCAGCCTGAACACCTAAATTTGGCCAATCATATATCAATGGTCATCTGTCAATTTTTTTTCGGTCATAGCATCTTGATTCATATGTCGCAGCTAATATACGCAACGGTTGAAATCAGAATAATTTCCTTTCCCATTGAGTTCCGTCCCAGTGTCCACGGGGATGGACGTCTGTATCTTCAGCAGGCGTAGAGCTCAAACCAAGCTTCTGCCGCCCTGGCGTCCTCTTCCACAACATCTTCATCCCGATTTCCTGCTCTAAATAAAAAATGTATGATGGAGGAGTCTCATCCACGACCTCCGACACTAAACTCTCCTCCTCTTGCATGTTTCCTCTGTCCATAGCGTTCCTTGACAGTGTCGTTTCTAAGTCACCAATTTAGTGCTACTTGGTCCCAATGGAATTTCCCATTGGGACCAAGTAGCACTAAGTTGCTAACTGGTTAGCAAGATGCTTAAGAGACATCGGCCGCTATCCAACTGGCTTGCGAACCTTCCGTCACAACAATCCCCGCCCCCTTGATAAACGAACAATCACATTCACTTTATGCACCCGTTGGAACAGCTGCTTCCCTACGACTTAAAACAAAATACTGGCTCTTCTCTCTTTGTTGAATATCTTATATATTTAATCTGTTGTCATTTCAAGCAACCGAAAAATAATTTGTTGTTTTAGCATTTTGAAAAACAAAACAAAATAGAAAACGTTTCATAAAGATGAAGGATGGATTTTCTTCCATTGGATGTTATTTGATGAAAAATAATCCACATTATTTCCAAGCTAATCTAATCTAAAAACATATTTCAAGTTTTTTTAAGGTCATTCAATCAAATATGATGTAAAAAAAAAACCTCCTCTTAGATTGATATTTGTTATTATACTACATTAGTTACTTGTTTATATCATTTTAGGCCACTATTAAAAGCCACAGGTTGCAGAAGCCTGACCTGGAACAAAAGCGGTTGTTTGGTTTTAAAGGAATAGTACACCCAAAACATGATTAGCCTTCATTTTCTACTCACCCCCATGCTGAACAACACTCTGGAGTACTTTTTTGATATCTCAAATGCATCTGGAGATCTGGGAGGCTTCTTGCTGTCTGCTGACATTCAAATAATGGAGGTCTATGGTGACCGAGACAGAAGGGTCCATTAAAGTCCACAAAAAACGTGTCAATATTCCTCCATACTGCTCGTCCAATGTATTCCAAGTGTCCTGAGTGGGTAGCATCCAGAATTTACTCGAAACGAAGTCATTTAGAATGTTTTTAGAGCATAAACAGTAGTGTATAGGATTTCCTGAAAGCGCGCACATGCGCGTTCAGGACGCTACGGAAGCGGGCAGACCAAACCAGATGAAAGTGCGCATTCAGCGTCTGCTCTCCCCATAATGCAAGCGTAGAAGAAGAAATGTGCTGTTTACCTGTGCAAAGAAAGAAACAACGAAAGAAAAATGTCTGAGGACTTCAGTGTTGAGGAAGAGCATGAGTTCTTTGCCGAGCTGAATGCGCTGGTTTGGTCTGCCGGCTTCCGTAGCGTCAGGAACGTGCAGGCGAGCGCTTTTAGGAAATCCTATACACTACTGTTTATGCTCTAAAAACATTCTAAATGACTTCGTTTCGAGTAAATTATGGACGCTACCCACTCAGGACACTTGTAATACATTGGACGAGCAGTATGGAGGAATATTGACACGTTTTTTGTGGACTTTTATGGACCTTTCTGCCTCGGGCACCATAGACCTCCATTATTTGAATGTCAGCAGACAGCAAGAAGCCTCCCAGATCTCCAGATGCATTTGAGATATCAAAAAAGTACTCCAGAGTGTTGTTCAGCATGGGGGTGAGTAGAAAATGAAGGCTAATCATGTTTTGGGTGTACTATTCCTTTAAGGCTTTTCATAATTAAAAAGGGAGAAGCGTACATTTGAACTGCCATGTGTCAAAAGAATAACTTACTTACAGCAGTGTTTAAAGGTAAAATTGTAGGATTTTCTTTTTCTGGGTGGATCATCAGAATAAGTGGTCCTCCTATCTGTCAATCATTCTGGTGATATGTTTACGTAAGGCCGTCCTACATGCTCATCCCCATTTTCACTTACCGGTGGTGAGTCTGACATAGTGGAAAAAGTTGCAAATCTTCTTTTGGAAAGTAAGATTGTATGAGTGATGCAAACAGAAACTTTTAAACAGAGTGTGCAGAAGGAGAAATGGGCTCTTGCACACTCTCACACACGTGTAATAGGCGTTCCCTCTCAGGAGTAGTTATAGTGTTATGCATTTCTTTTTTTAAAGTGGACAGGGCGGGTCTTTTCAAAACCTCCTCCACTAGACCTTTAAGACTAAAGTACAAACAATTTTATATTTTTCATATAAGATTAAAAAAATAAATGTGTATACAAAGACACTTGTACCTATATTTAATTACATTTTTGCCAATTATAATAATTTAAAATGTGCATTAAAGGGATTTTTTTTCAAAATTCCTGATATTTGTTTATTTATGAATTGAAAGTTTCTCTTATTGATTACTTTAAGAAATAATAGATAGAATAATTGATTACTAAAATAATCAATTGCTGCAGCCTTACTTCTAACTCTGACTGTATAGAATGAATAATGAGAAAAGATTCAAACCCGACCTTAGAGAAACAGAAGCAAGATGAACTAAAATTTTAAAGCTTCCTGGATGGGAAGCGAAACTTCTTTAAACTTGGAAAAAAAGGCCAGTGGATTGTTAGTTAACTTTTTTGAGAAAAAAACAAAACCTCCATTTTTGTTTTCCTTTTAAAAACCTTTAAGTTTCTTATTGAGCTACAGGATGATGGAAACAGGAAGTTGGACAGACCAAAACTTTTCCAGAGTTTTAATAGTGATACCGCATAGAGCTTTTAATTACATGATAACCAGCAGAAAATGAGAAATGAGGTCAAGTGATAATCCCAGCTGCCTGAAGCATCAACCAGCCTCTAACACAGAAGCCATGCCATGCATGCCGTTTGGATGAAAGGTTTTCTCAAACCGCTGCACTTGTCTGATGCAAATTGATCAATTGTTCTCTTGATTTTCTATGGAGAAGTCAGGAAAGTAATTTAAAAAGTTTTATTAGCAAAATTCAGGATAATTCTGAAATTCAGAAACAGGTGATTCTGCCCATCTGTCTGTGCTGCCATCTCTAATTGTTGATCGATAAAATCGTTGACCTTATTATTATTATTATTATAAGACCATTATAACCTCTTAAGCCCGGCGGGCTTGGTACAGGGCCCAACTGACACCTACTGATGCTTATCTATTTATAGAAATGGCCAAAACACAGTAATGTGGTCTTTCATCCACCCGCCTTTCAAATGGGGCTTTAAAATTTCCAAAACATGTTTCAAAATCACTTTTTTACAAATACTTTTTATTTTATAGCTGTGTAAACAAATAGGATGAGAATTCCACCTGACATGTGACTCTGTGGGAGTTATGCAACAGCAGGTATTTGTTTTTAGCCCCACCCCCTAACGGCCAGCATCATTGGAAACTAGAGGCTCAGGCCTTTCCTAGGGAGGGTCGGAGGTAATCATGCGACCATTTCAGGTGATGTAACCGGCATGCGTTACATAGGCTTGCTCTGTTATTCTTAATTTCTATTCAGTTTGGTGATATTGGTAAATATGAATGAAACAGCGGCTAAATCTTAGGAGCAAAGACTTTTTCTTATGCAGAAGGTCTCCAATAATGTAAATCAGCATAGTTGTTTTCCTCCTGTGAGTGGAAAAAATGCATTTTTGCACTTTTCGCATTGTGCCGCAATCACGTTACAGCCCAGCACACTGCCCACTAAAACATGTTTGGATATATATCTTTTAATTATTCAGTCCAAATTTGCTTGAGTTATAGTCAAGATGTGGATCTATAAAGTCTGAGGGTTCATCCAGAGTTTGGAATGGTGTTTTGTAGTGTTTATTTTGGAAACAAAATTGGTGAGGCTAAATATTTTTCATTTTTTCTTTGTTAAATCACCTATAAATCAGACTTGGTGAGATTTAAAATAGTGGTTCCACCTGATTGCAATTCGGAAATGCAACGGTTGGAACAGCCGCTCCCTACGACTTTAAGAGGTTAATTTTTGCTTAGCTGCTGAAATTAGTAAAATATTTTTATATTTCTGTTAGTTTCCACTGATTCAGACAAGCTGACGATGCAACGGATTCTTTTATGAGTACCACCGCACAGGAATTAATAAAATAAAATAAATAAACAAATGACTGCACAAAAAGCCAGTCTGTTGATTCCAGCTAATCGATGTCTGTTGAAACCCAGAAAGTGAACGGGTATGTGTGCTCGTTTGGAGGGGTCGCTGTGGGGGCCTACATGCTCCTTCATGCTGTGTGTGAGCTGCATACCTCCCATGTGTCCAGTCTTGCTCAGTGATACTATTACACAGAGTTTGTGTTTGCTTCTCTTCCTGCTATCTTTAAGAGTTTCTGTTCTCAAACAAAGCTCAGCTCCTCAGAGCTGCGATATGAATTCATGAAGTGAAACTTGAAGCGGAGCTGCAGTTCTCTAACCTCGTGTGAGATAAGGTACCTCTGTCTGTTTCAGGGTAAACAGAAGTGTTTAAAAGCGCTGGGATTATGAAAGTCCCAGATATGCTTTGTGACAAGATATTTAACAAGACATGGAGCTTTTCTGTCATCTTTAAATGTTTTTTTTTTTTATGTTTTCTAACATTCATTTTCTTTTGACTTTTCACACATTTCAACAGAAGGATCCAGAGCTAAATATCGACAAATCTAACAGTGAAATTGCATTTTCTGTACCTGCATTTACTTCACAGTATTCCAGGTTTTATATACTTTGGCGTTTTTGTTTTGTAAAGTAAATATTTTTAATATCATATACTGAAGGAGCTTCAAAGAACATGGTGGTTGTTCTCATCAGTCTTTCTAAGGCCTTTATTTTGTTTTTATCAATACTACAATTATGTTGTATAGACTGAAATTATGATATACTTTATAATAGAACTTTTTGTGATAACATCCAGCTCTACCACAGAGGTTAAAAGCTTAAAAAGATGAAATATTGCCACTTTGCTGACTCCTTCCAGTCCTCAGACGTGTCTCAACGTGTCCTAGAAAATACCTTTTCTTTCTAAATCCGTTTTCCTCTGACCCGTTTGTTTAACACCTCAGTGACGCTTAAAGCTAACTTGGATCCTCTCCCTCAGTGAAACTATTCAGACCTGTAGAGTGTTGTTGTGACTGCAGCTTGTAGGCGTCACAACAACTCCAGCCAACATGGGCTGGTAGGAAACCCTGACTCCGACAACCTCCAGTTCAATTTCTGACTATCACAATATTAAAAAATAAAATATTTTAGAATATAATCTATAGGAAGACTTTAGACTCTGCCCCTAAACTGTGTTTCTTTAAGACTGGAAATGTTCTTGTCTTAAACAAGTGTTTTTTTATGTAGGGTTTTAGGAAAACACAGTAGCTCTGTGCAGCAACGGGCGGGGGCGGGGCAAGGAGGATTTACTGGTTCGTTTAGTCAGAGGAAGCTCTGCTCACTGACGGTTTTAAATCCTAGCAGCGGCGTGATGAAAGACGTCTACTCAACAATTAGACAGAACCGCATTTAAATTAGACATTTTTCTCTTACGACCCTCCGCCATTTTCAAAGAACAGCGGTGAGAAAGTTAAGCTTGAATAACTGTCTGAAACTGTAGCTCACCTAACGGGACGAGCACGGCCTTACGTAAACATATTGACAGGTAGGAGGACCACTTATTGACGTGATCCAACCAGAATTAAAAGTTCGTCCTCTTTACCTTTTAAAATGTTCACAAGTCTTAATAAAAAAAAATGATAAAAATCTAACTAGACAAATGGCCAATGGGCGAAGCAGCAAAGCGAGGCAGCTGAACTGCTGCACATATCAGTTAATGCAAAGAAGAAAAGCTTTTGGTCATTAATGAAGATCTTCGTTTGGTATCGTTGTTTGTCTGCTCTAATCCGTTTCATTTTAGGGTCTCTGATGATGAGAATCTGACGTTGATTTCTGAACGCTACCAGATTTCAGAGTCCAGCATCCACATGGATTTCCTTAGTAGAACATGTTTATATATTCTGTAGTTTCAGTTTAATTCCTAAGGTTGTTTTTCTGTTTGTATCGGTCCAACTCGGTAGGAAAGTTTTCCACTGCAGATCAGTTCATTGTGTTTTTTGGGTTGTTTTTCTGGTTTTATGCTTCTGAAATCTACTGTTTCCCAAACACTCGCCCTCCCCTCTGGCTCTCAGGCTGGGTGTGTCAGCCTGAGTGGGCCGTGGGGTGGGTCTCTCACCCGATTCAACACCTTCCTTTGTATTCTCATCTGTCCCAGTTGATAGACTCTGGCATTCAGAATGAGCGGAGACCCAACAGCAAGCAGGCAGTTTTTATCTGTTTGAAACCTGCAGTTTGATACATTATTTTATTTTGATATTTTATCTGTTCCATAACAGAACCAAAGAAGAGGCAGTGCAAGGTGCTGTTTGACTACCAGCCCTTAAACGATGACGAACTGGAACTGAAAGTTGGAGACATTGTTGACATCCTTGAAGAGGTGAGTTAAATGTTAATTATGATGCATAGAATCTTTGGTTGAGAGAAGTAAAAGTGCTGCATGCTAGGTTTGTTTCTGCTACCTTACAGGTTTAATGTTACATGTTTGTGCCGTTTAGAAGCACAGATTGTTTCCTGATTTTAGTTTGGCAGGTTAGAACATGCAGAAGCGTTTCAAACAGGCAATTAGATCACTTTCTTATTCCACACACAGAAGAATGGTTAAAGTTTCTTACTTCTGTCCTTCTTGTTGCAGGTTGAGGAGGGCTGGTGGAGCGGGACCCTCAACGGCAAATCAGGACTGTTCCCATCCAACTTTGTCAAGGAGCTGGAGGCTGCAGGAGAGGAGCCAGAGGCAAACGACACGGTCTCTGAAAAGTCTGGTAATGCTGGAGGCATTGCAGCTCAGACAGCAACAGGCAGACAGCGCTATGCTGGGTTTGACATTTGGACCGTTTGTTACCAAAACAGTTCTTGAGGCAGCTGTTGGCAGCATAGGAGCAAATGTCAAAGTTTGAAAGGAAGCTGCTCAGGATGTTTTATTGGCTTAATGGATCTTAGTTCCTTTATTTTGCAGTTCAAAGAGACTAAAAGGTTATTATCTTCTCCAACCTCCCCTAAAGATACTTAAATATCTGCTTTTATTCCATCCGGTTCATCCTGAGCCTAAAGGCTGTTCACTACAGAGATGCAAAGTATTTATACCCCTGGAATATATAATCCTATTTATATTTAATGCCATAGACCAACACGAAGTAGAGCAGAGTTGGACAGTTGGAAATTATAACTGGTTTCCATTACTGTGGGTGATGACATCACAGGTTCCAGTGCAGACGAGGCTTCTTCAAACTTTGGCTGATTTTTAGGATGCATCAGGAGTATCCTTCGCCATCCGACATTTCCCATGATTCCTTGTACCCATAGGAGATGGACGTTATGGATAATTCCTATGATACTGCCTCCTGTGGTCAACACACAGAACTGCAGGAGTCTTCTGCTCGTTCTTCTAGCGCGTTTATTATTTTTTTTATTTACTTTTTTTTACCTCATGTGGAGTTCTCATTGTGTTTGAGTCGAGATGGATGCAGGTCCCTTCTTAGTGTCCGCAACATCCATCTTGAAAATAAGGCTTTAACTTCTTGCTGAGTTGGGCCCATTCAAGAGGGACTCGCTTGATTTCCCACCGCTGAACGGTGTGGGACCTTTAGGCTGAAAGTAAATAAGGAAAATAGGCTGCAGGTTGGCTCTGAACTGCTGAGGTGTCAGTCTACTCATCGGACAATGTTTTATTCATGAAGGGTCAAATAAAAAGACTATTATAAAGATATTCTCCAGTGAAAACGTAGAAAAATTTGGGTTATTAAAGGAAAAGTCCGGTCAGCAAGAAATAATCAATGGGTCATTATTTATACCCAAAACTAATACATTTGTGGTGATTTAATGAATTTAGCATTAACCAGTAAAAAAATAAATATATTTTTCGTTACGATCACTGAGTCAGGGAGCGGCCATTTTTGCCCAAATATAGTAACCCCTCACTTCTGCCATCTTCCTGCAGTGACGTCACGGTGCGGTAAGCCTAGCGCCATTCTCCCCGCTTTACAAGCTAAATCAATGGGAACTACTGGACACATCTGCAATCAACAACAATTATTGAAGATTTCCAGAGGACTTCACCATTGAAATTCACCAGAGCTATAGTGAAACTGACAATGCCCACGTGCATGGCAGCTGGATGCTGGAATACATCGGGTAAAAGTGGGAAAAAAAAATGATTCCTGATCCTCCACGGACGGGGTGGTCGTTGGATTGCCAACTTGAAGAGGAAGGATTTGCCATCGAACTTCTGGCCAGAGAAAAAACCCGTAATATGTAGCCAACATTTGGAAGAAGAATGTTTTCAAGATGACTTGGATAATAGCGCGTTGTGACAAACACCAGATACAGCACTGGGACTTGATCAACAGCCGATACCGCACCGTGACGTCACAAACCAGTAGGTGGCAGTAGTGTTCTTTGACAAACATGGATGCCTCCAGTAAAGCACATTCATATGAAAATTACTCTTAATAAAAAAACACATTTATTGATCAGTGTGTAATAATTTCATATTTAAAGTACTTTCAGAAGTTTGGATTCTGAAAATGACCAGATTTTTTTCCATTAAACAATGACCCACACTTTGGACATCTGCAAAACAGATGTGCATTAAACTGTGAAGCATGTTGGTGGCAGCATCATGCTGTGGAGATGCTTTACTTGGATTCATAGATGGAGAAAGGGAAACCATGATCAGAAGACTTTAGAGCGAAATAGAAGTTAATTTTCCAGGGAGGGCATTTAAATGTCTCTATAGCAAATGTTTTTACCAACCTCTGGAAACATCTGTAAAACAGTTGAAATAAAAAAACACTCAGTGCTGTTGTAAAGTCAGAGCTGTTGAAGTTAGAGATTTGTTTTGTGTCATATTTCTTTGATTCACTATTAAAGTTTTTCAACCAAAACTGTCCCACGTCAGAGAAGCATAACCCGGTGATCTTTGGTTGGCTCGTATTGTTCTGTAGAACATGAGGGCAATGCATGTAGCAGTGGGAGCGTGATCGGCTAAATGTGCCAGAGCTCCATGCTGGGTCCAAATTAGAATATGGTTACCTTGGTCTCAGCACGTCTGCTGAGAACTAGTCATGCATACATATTCATTAATCAGGCTGAGGTCTGGTTGGCTCTGCTCCGTTCCACACTCTGCTCTACGCTACGCTAGCAGGCTCAGTTCACACTGGAAGCTGTAGTAAAATCCATGTTTGCTGAATAAACCCAAACTCCTTAGATTATTGACAGTATCTACACCCCTTGGATATCTGTTATATAATATGATACTCCTCCTCTTCATGTTGTTTAAAGTTTTTCAGCTGCTAGTCATGCCTGATAAGAAGACAGCTGCTAAGATGAGACAGAAATAGGCGCCTAGTCGACCCATCTGCTTGAGTTGATGTGCGGTTTGGTTCAATCCGCTTCCTGATTCACGCTGCAGCACAGAATGAAAGATGCAGAGGAGCAGAATGGTTCCTCAGTAAATGATGCAGAGGAAAGCTCAAGGTTCTCCAAGGAGGATGGATCTCCTGTCGAGGCAGTGATGGTGTAGAAGACGCTCTGATGTTGTCAGACAAACTGATGAAGAGGCTGCTCATGGTTCTTTATAAGACCATTCTTGTTTTTTTTTCTTTGTAGTTTCATCTCCAGAGTTTCCAGCCTTCTTTATCAACCTGTTGACCTTCTTTAATTTTTTCCCCCATCTTTTATCGTCATTAAACTTTCACAAGTACAGAGTAACAAAATGAACTCTCTGCATTTGAGCCATCCCCTTGGGGAGCATTGGGCTGCTATTGTGCAGCGCCCGGGGAGCAATCGGGGGATAAGGGTCTTTCCTCAGGGACTCGGAGTGGCAGTCTGTGGGAGTGGGGCTAGAACTCAGAACCTCAGGATTCCAAGCTCTATGTCCTAACTACAAGTCCACCACTCCCCTGAGTCTCCCCTTAAAGGAATAGTACACCCAAAACATGATAAGCCTTCATTTTCTACTCACCTCCATGCTGAACAACACTCTGGAGTACTTTTTTGATATCTCAAATGCATCTGGAGATCTGGGAGGCTTCTTGCTGTCTGCTGACATTCAAATAATGGAGGTCTACGGCGCCCGAGGCAGAAAGGTCCATAAAAGTCCGCAAAAAACGTGTCAATATTCCTCCATACTGCTCGTCCAATGTATTCCAAGTGTCCTGAGTGGGTAGCATCCAGAATTTACTCGAAACGAAGTCATTTAGAATGTTTTTAGAGCATAAACAGTAGTGTATAGGATTTCCTGAAAGCGCGCGCATGCGCGTTCAGGACGCTACGGAAGCCGGCAGACCAAACCAGATGAAAGTGCGCATTCAGCGTCTGCTCTGCCGATAATGCAAGCGTAGAAGAAGAAATGTGCTGTTTACCTGTGCAAAGAAAGAAACAACGAAAGAAAAATGTCTGAGGACTTCAGTGTTGAGGAAGAGCATGAGTTCTTTGCCGAGACGCTGAATGCGCTGGTTTGGTCTGCCGGCTTCCGTAGGCTCGTGAACGCGCATGTGCGCGCTTTCAGGAAATCCTATACACTACTGTTTATGCTCTAAAAACATTCTAAATGACTTTGATTCGAGTAAATTCTGGATGCTACCCACTCAGGACACTTGGAATACATTGGACGAGCAGTATGGAGGAATATTGACACGTTTTTTGTGGACGTTGATGGACCTTCCTGCCTCGGGCACAATAGACCTCCATTATTTGAATGTCAGCAGACAGCAAGAAGCCTCCCAGATCTCCAGATGCATTTGAGATATCAAAAAAGTACTCCAGAGTGTTGTTCAGCATGGGGGTGAGTAGAAAATGAAGGCTAATCATGTTTTGGGTGTACTATTCCTTTAAGTCATTTCCTCCTTCCTGGAGCAAGAGAAAGAAATGTCGGCCTAAAGAATGAGCCTTCAAAGGCTGCGCATATCGGATATAGGTTAGATTTTCAAAATAGTCGCTCTCGACATCGGCCTAAAAAAAAAAACAACTACACCAGTTGATCTCTATTAAGACGTGCTGCAGCCTTATGCTCATTCCAAATGTTTATTTAGACACTTTATTTCACTTTAGATCAATGTAAAGGATTATCGATAGATTGTTTTAATAATTGATAAGTGCAGCCCTAAAGAAAAAGTAAATGTTTGCACTCCGTAAATCGCCACAGTTTGAGCTCTGCTGTAGGTGTGTACTCCACAACAGCAGAACTTGGACCCGTTTCTCCACCGTCCATCTGATTTCATTTTTTTCCTACCGTATCCATCTGGTCAGACTCCTTTAGTTTGCAATGTCCACTCTAATTCAGCTCAGAATCAGTGTTCTAGTAGCAAATGATTCCTATTCTTTCTCTGAGGAGAAGCTCATCCCCTCTTCTTACTCTGTTGTGTCTCCATGCAGATGGAAGTGGAACAGAAGCTGCTGTCACTCCCACATCTCCTCCGCCGGACTCAGGAAACGGAGCCATCCATCAGCCCAAAAAGATCATAGGTGTCGGCTTCGGAGACATTTTCAAAGACGGTTCTGTCAAACTGAGGCCGCGGAACAGCCCCATCGCAGAGGACAGGAAAGGCAAGGAGCCAGAGAAGGACAAAGCCAGTCCATCACAGGTACAGTCTTACACAGCCCTGCCGCTCAGAACCTTGATAAATGGGACCCCAAAGGTTAAATCAACTTCTCTGAGCCAAACAGGAGTCTAGTGAGGAGCAAACCCTCCTGTTGGCGTCAGATTCATGTCCTGTTTGTTGTGAACACATATTTCTGCTCTCATCAGCACATGTTGCAGCTTCTGCATTTAAGCAAGACATGAAATGATCACCCGACACATTTCAGAGGCAGCAACCTGTTCCTGAGCAGATGCTAAATTAAGGGTTGGTTTTGTTTCAGAAAATGCTGCTAGAATATTTGCTCTGTTTTGGTTGAGTTTAACGGGAACGTCTCAGTGTAACATGAGTTTTTCCAACTAAATGGATCTTCTCTGTCTTAATAACTTGTAGATGGAAGTAAGGCTGATCAATTTAGCTAAAAATCTAAAATGCGATTATTTTTAACCAAAATTATGATTTTATTTTTTCCTTTGCATTAAACCCAAGCTTATAGATTTTTCACAGAAGCCTTTCAGTTTTTGAACGCTTGCCTTTCGAGAATCCATTCTTGCAGGACTTTACTGTAATCTTTGTGTGAAAAATACTTTACTTCTACTTGTCAACATGGACCTGCATGCTAGCTGCAGCTCCCTACCTTGCATTGTGACGACCAACCCATTTGGAACGTTTTGGAGTGAAAGGTTTAATTTCTTACTGTTTTTAATTACAGTGTGATTAAAAAAGTGTCCCTCTGCGATTTGAAAATGGCGTTTAGGTAAATTGTGATCATATTGCAAATCCAATTGATAACCCTGCCCTAGATGGAAGCTTTTAGCCTGACAATTTGTTGGTTTGTCAAAGGATTTTGCAGATAATCACTGCAACATCTGCATAAGGTTTGATTTCTATTCAAGTTTAGCTGAAGATTCATATATGAAATTTAGGGGAGGTGTGGATTAATGGCACTAAAATCAGAACTAGAGGCTAAAAGAGATCCCTATAAAAGATAAGATAAAAAATAAAAAAACAGCATCCATAAGCTAACTGTGTCAGGCTAGAAGAGGCTGTTTCAAAGTTTTAGATGGACTTGGTGGGGCCAGCCCAGGAGGTTCCTGTTAGTTCTCTTTAATGCATGTAAGGACTCGTGTCTGAGACACGATGAACTGATCTAATTCTCAGCAAGCAGGAAGTGTGGTTCAGTTCCTCTGGAGGACAAATATTCAGGTCTCCTGCAGCTGGTTCTGCAGGAATTTTTAATGGTTCCTCATGTTTTAGCTACTTGTAGTAGGAACCTCCCACTAGTATTGTAGTTTGAAAAGAAACCCACCAATAGTCTGAGATGTTTGAGTTTTTCTTTGAGTCCAACAAGGTGATGCAGACATGCTAATCATTTGGGCTTGTTACTGATAAAAACGAACATTATCTCTTGTAAAAGGACTCAATGATATGGCTTTGGATCACCAGCAATAGTTTACAGAAAAGCAACAGCCCGTTTGTTTTAACAGGAGAGAAACACAGGAAAACATCCTTCCCTGGTCTGATTGGAAGCATTCAGCATCTGGTGGGGGAGGGGCAGTGGTAATATATGTTACATGTGGCTCTCTAGCCTTCTCAGACTTCCTTATAGTTGCAGGGGTTACATGAAGTCATATTAATTTTAGGATTTTTTTTACTACTTAGTCATCAGTTTATTAATAAAGTAGCTTTATTGTGGTCTTTTTTTTATGGTCAGTTTATTTCTGGGACTTAATAACACAGCATTCTCAGCCTAGCAAAAAAAACAAAACTTGTTTGTAATATATAGGGCATCGGGGACATGAAGACCAGATATTTTTTATCACTTCCCTACACACAATAACTGCTTTTTATCATAATTTTTATTTCATAAACTAAATAATGGACAGAGAAAGTCAAAACTGCATTCCTCATCTCAGCTCTGGAAGGGACATCAGTCTCCTCTTCTTCATCCTCCTCCTCCCCTCCTTGCTGCGGGCAGCACTGGCGCTCTTGTACCTCCAAGATGTAAACGTAATTTTAAAATTATTTTTGCACATGTTCAATTCATAAAATGGCCAAAAATGAACACTACAAGCGGATTTCTTGATTACAATAATTAAATTATTTAAGCAGCATTTGTATAGAAAGGATTCTGTCCCAAGCCTTTTGATCTATATAAGCGGTTGATTGATATATCCGTGACCACTGTAAGAGGATTTCACTGCATAGCGCCAATTCACATGTCATCTCAAGGCACTTTACATTTCATACAGCCAGACTGATTCAAAGTTTTCTACTAAAGAAAACAAGTTGATTGCATCGACTCATTGACTCAAATACAATCCCTCACACTAAGCATGCTTGTAGCGACAGTGGAGAGGAAAAACTCCCTTTTAACAGGAAGAAACCTCCAGCAGAACCAGGCTCAGTGTGAGCGGCCATCTGCTGAGGCCGACTGGGGTTCAAGGAGACAGAAGCAGAGATACAAAAAGAAACTGTAAAAGGCGGCCCCTTCCAGGAAGAAGAGCTCCGAGCCAGCTCCCATGTCAGAGGATAAAGAGAGCACATCCAGCCAGTCACAGTCAGAGAAACGGGACTACGCTGGAAAACAGGCTGATCTTGAATATATTTGAACTCCGCATTTCAATGAAGTATTTATAGCTTAAAGGCCAGAACTAGTTTGATTCCTGCTAGCTGCTAATTCCTGCTTCTGGTTTATTTAAGGTGATGCTACATTAAAACCCTCGATTCTCTCTAATCAAACCATAAGCGAACATCTGCTGCTGTTTCCAATGTGTGATGAAACCATCATGTCTCTATGTTCACATTTACCATCTATCTAAGGTCCTCTGCTGCTTCTAGTTGATGTTAATTTCTGATATTAGTTTCCTTTCATGTGTTACTGACGCTTCCTGAAATAGTGTAATTAGTTAACCTGGTGTTGAAACTCTCTCTCTCTTTCTCTCTCCTCACCACATGTTTCATGCCTCTCTTCTCTCTCCAGCATCAGACTCTCATGTGACATGGAACCAGCTTTAAAAGCTGATTCTTACCTGTTTGCCTCCTGCTTCAGATTCACTAACACTCCCAACAGCAGCTCTGACTCAGTTATCGTCTCCACTTCCATTAAACTTTCCATGCATTCAGTTCCCATGACAGAATGACATTCCTACTCCATGTCTTGTATCTCCTATAAGAATATCCGGTCTTCCAGTCGAGATTCCTTTGTGCAAAAACCACATTTTCACTCATTTCCGATGAATCACCCCCCCATCTGTATGGTTTGCTTCATTTTAGCCAGTCTCACCATTACCATCAGCTGCAAAGCCTGCTCATCCCAACCTGAGCGACTCCCAGAAGTCGGAGGTGGACGGCAAACCCAAAGGTAAAAACACACCAACAATCTGAACTCTGTAACTTAAGCTTGCTCCAGCTGGCAAATTGATATTTTTAATACATTAAAGCATCGCAGATATGCTTTAATACTTCAAATACACCCAGATCTTATCATATTATTTAGGTTATATTGATGGAAATATCATTAAATTAGTTTTTACATATATTTTGCATGATAATATGTAGTTTATTTTCACTTTGTGGTCTTTAGATTAAATTAATAATCCCTAAAGGGACTTCATTCTCTGGTTAAATGCTGCAGCTACTGGTGCCACCTACTGTTGTGAATTGTGCATTTTCTGAGGAATGAGGAGCTTCTTGAACTCAGTTCAGGGGATTTTTATTTGCTTTAGTATTCTCTTCCTTTCAGGAAGCTATGAAAGAAACACAGGAAATATGTAGATGATGATATTCTGGACAGGTGAGGTCTTTAGGCTTATATGGGGAAAAAACAAAACATGTTGAACATTGTCATTTTCTCAGTGTTCTTTTAAATTCATATCCAGTCCAAATCAGCTGAACAGAGTATAAACATCAATTAAATGAACACCTCTGGCTTTTTTCTCTGCACTGACAACTGACAAACTCCAGTGACAAGATGTATTACATCCTTCCGCTTTATCCCTGCTAGGGTGATGAGGCGTGCTGATGCCTATCTCTAGTTGTTTACGGGCGAGAGGCGGGGTACACCCTGGACAGGTCCCCAGTCCATCGCAGGGAAACACAGAGACTACCATCCATGCACACACTCACACCTAAGGAGAATTTAGAGAAGCCAATTAACCTAACGGTCATGTTTTGGACTGTGGGAGGGAACCCAGAGTACCCGGAGAGAACCCACGCATGCACAGGGAGAACATACAAACTCAATGTAGAAAGACCCCGGGCCCTGGAATCAAACCCAGAACCTTCTTGTTACAAGGCAGCAGACCGTTTCTCAATTCACTAGAACGCGAGTACGGACCCGTGTTCTCACCAAGTATGTTCTTGGGAAGAACACAGGAAAGTATGAACTTGGTGAGAACGGGAGCACGCAGCATAAATATGGGTCAATTGGAACAGAAGCGTACTGATGATGTCACCGCACGATCGGCTCGTCTGGAGCTGCATTTCACCTCCTGTTATTAATAGTCTCTAGATGATAATATATATATATTCTTTTTTTCATTTAGTGGGGGAATAATAATGAACACAGTCAGATAAACACAAATCCAATGAACATTTTGCCAAATGAAACAAAAAACTCTCCATCAGAGTCAGCAGTCCTTCACATGGCTATGATGAGAGGGTTGACCGCGATCCTCTCAACATCATCAACATGTTCTCACCTCAAATGATCTTAAAGCCTACTTTTATAGAACAGCAGAGACAGAAAAGACATCTTTTAACGTCATACTCTTACCTATGTGAGCGCTAACGTGGAAGCTGCCGCAGTGCATGCTGGGACAGCTGTCAATCTCAAGAACGGACATGTCTGCTCTGATGCATGCTGGGTAAAGCGGGAGGGGTAAGAACAACATCTGGGGACTTTGTCCATTCTCAGTCTTCTTGTTGTGAATTGGAACAGTGCAATGGCTGAGGCTGATTATGTTTTTCAAGCACATGAGAATGCACAAGTACACACTGCTTCATACACCTTAATTTCACAACTGCTTTTAAATAACTGATGTCAAGTTGGACTCCTGTATATTTGGATTTCTGCATCCATTGGGCAACTTCTCACTGTTTTTATGTTCTGGAGGCTGAATCCATACTCTGCACTACAGACTGGAATGACAAGCTCTGCTTCAGCCATCGATTTAAAATCTGAGATTTCTCCAAAGGAGATGAGCGGATAACTGGGTGAGGCCTTCCAGCAAGGACTCACTACAGCTGGAGGAAATGTACTCAAAATGGATCATTATTACACTAAACATCACCAAGCGCCTTTCAGATTTTCTGCCGTGTTTAAAAACAACAACAAAAGAAACGGTCAAATACAGAAAATATTGAGTTAATGTGACCCCTGGGGACTACATATAGCTGTAGCAAGACTTTGATAAAGTTAGGTTTAGAGAAGAATGTCTGCTAAAGGGCTGCGTTCCTGTTTATACCAGCTGGTAGCTTTCTGACTTGAAATTTTTTTTTTCAGATCATTGCTGATGTTATAACATTTCTCAGTAGTGCTTGTTAAATATTGAACATTTTGTCATTTTTTTTCCTGTCCAGTTTCTACAGCTAAAGAGAGCTGTAAGGTGAAGTTCCCTTACGAAGGCAAGAATGATGACGAACTGAGCCTCAAAGAAGGGGAGATAGTGAACATACTGAGCAAGGTGAGCATCCTTCTATCCACGTATTACCCATTTTGGCTCAATGTGTGGAAAGGAGCCATTGAAGAGGAAAAACTAATAGCATCAGCATATCTTGTCCTGTTGATGTAAAATCAGGCAAATACTGTCTAAACCAACTGCAATAAATTATATGAGCTCGTTATGACACCAGCTTAGTTATATTACTTTATTCATCCTTTATTTGGAACAAGCATAGGACACCAGTAGATAACCTAAAGCCAGATGAGATAAACATTAAACATCAGAAAACATCATAAATAAGCAATTTGACTTTAGATATTTAGCTATATTTTAATCCATGCCTTTCATAATTTAGCTCTAACTTAACATTTAATGAAAATCGGTCAAATAAGCTGTTGCAAACTGCATATAAATGTATTCAAACAGAAAACAAAAACATAGAAAGATAGAAATTGAACTTCATTGATCTCATGATGGAGACATTCCTTCTCTGCATTTAACCCATCCCCTTGGGGAGCAGTGGGCTGCCATTGTGTGGCGCCCGGAGAGCAGTGTGAGGTTAAGGGTCTTGCTCAGGGACCCAGAGTGCAGGCTGTGGGGATTTGAACCTGGTACTTGCAACTTTCTCAGAAGCACAACCGTACTGCTGTAACCACTAGACCACCACTCCCCAAACATTACATCAAACAATAAGCACATTTTAGTTAAGTTTTAGTTTTCTGAATTAAAATGATTCTTTTTAAATTGATATTTTTCATCTCCTTCCAGAGGTTTCTTTGGAGAAGCTTAGAGTTCAGTATGTGAGCACAGGTGAACTGGATTTTCTGACAGATTAGCCTCCTCAGATTGACCAGCTAAAGGGATGGGTGCGCTTGATTCTTTGTCGAGTGCACTCCATATGTGTGGAGATGCTAAAACCATTCAAACCTGTCAGATTTGTTGGTTTAACTTGACATTTACTAACAATAGATTATCTATTACCAGTGGAACTTTAGCCCATTGACTATGTATGTGTTTAATATTGTCCTCCCAATATTTGCCGTAGAACATGGTGTTGTTATGGAACAGAGTTTCTGTTGTACTGTTTTAGAATCGGTGTCTGATTGGAAAAAGAAAATAAAAAACCCTGAGAGGTCAGTTTGTTGTTTGTGTGCTGCTGCCATCTAGTGGTTATCAGGAGAAATGAGAGTTTGATTCTATTTATTTTGAAGGAACATGGAGGCTTTATAGTTTAAAAGACTTGAATAAGAACCTTCATGTCTTCGTTAACAGGATACCGGTGAGCCCGGGTGGTGGAGAGGGGAGGTTGGAGGAAAACAGGGGGTGTTTCCTAATAACTTTGTCACAGTTGTTCCTGAAACAGAGAAGGAGGTGAGCTGTTGTGTTCCATCCATTTCATTTCCATCAGTGCTGTTCATTCCTCTGTTGCATCAGTCTGGTCATACTCAGAAAACAAACCCCACCTTGTGTAAAACAGCCAGTCGAAGACTGTAGCTAGAGGTTAATTTATGGGTTTAGCTCTGTGAATTCTGGGATGCTGTAGTAGTTGAATATCTATGTAAGTAGATCTATCATATGTCACCTGAGCCCTCCACAGGGAGCCCTAATCAGCCACCTAGGTCTACCACTCCTCTGGGGGGTTAAAGGTCTGCTTAATGAGCAGCTCCAGGTTTAGAATCTGCTAGTTGATGGTGGCTGGAACAAAGAAACCTTCATCACCAAAGTTATTATTAGAAAGAGATTCCCTAAAAGTGTTTCCATGTGATAGTAAATCCGTCATTAATGACCATGAAGTCGATGTGGATGTATTTAATAAATGATTGGATAGAAATGATGAATCTGATCAGAGAACCTCAGCTAAACACGAAAAGGAAGAACTGTTCACACTGGGAAAAAAAATCTAGACAAGTCATTTTTTTCTTCTAATAAGTGCATTTTTGCCAATGGAACAAGACAATTTACTCTTGAAATAGGAAAACACAAATGTATTGTCTTATTTCAAGTGCATATTATCTAATTATTATATTTTAAGAGTAAAAATACTAATTACATTGGGAAACTATCTCATTTACCTACTCAAATTAAGGGTGAATAAACTTAATTTAAGACATTTTTACTTATTTCCAGATCGTTTTTCCAGTGCACCGTGACGTCCCTCTGTTTTCACTTTATTCTGTAATCTTATGTTCCAGGCAGCACCATCCAAAGGATCTGTGAAGCTGTTGCCAAAGCCAGAGATGGAGGAGGTAAGGAAAAGATGCTGATCAAACAGAATGAAGTATTAACGCCTGCAGGCTCCTGCACAGACACCTGCATTACACCTTAAAGCGTGACTGTAGTTCAGCCTTTACAGCATCATGTAATCTGAAGATTACATCAGCAGCCAAAGGTTTAACTTCAAATTGCACAAAGAGAACTGCTGGAACGCAAGATGGAACATCTCTGCATATAACAGCCTGTATCAACGTTTGGTCTGAAGCTAAGCTAACCTGCTCTGACATGACGAGAAGAGTTCCTGTTTACATGTTTTTTACTCGGAGAGAACTTGACGAGCCAAAACCTTTCTGACAAGCAGTTTGTTGAAAACTGATCCGCCATGACACAAGCCCCGGATAGATCCCTGTCCCTCTAATCTGATCCCCTCTAAAGCAGGCAGAGGAGTGTTTAAATCAAACCCTTACATGCACCTAATGCCTCATTCTGCAGAGCTCCGAAACCATCTGGAGTTCAGCTCTGGATGACGTGGCGATGTAGCGGCCGGCAGCTTTACTGTTGTTATTGTCTGAAAGCGTTTGTCTGTGAACACAGAGATAAGAAAGCAATTAAAAGATAATGAATTACAGGCCTTCTAGTTATTAATAAATATTTATAGCATTTTTACTAAATGGCTAAATTCGTGCAGATGTGCTTCCATCACATTATAAATGCATTTATAGAATCAAAGCCACAGTGTTTTTGTTGGAATAGGTTTTATTTTTTATTTTTTTAAAGGTATAGTGCAGGATGTTCTTGGATAATCTAAATAATTGATCCTCCTAATTGTCAATCATTCAGGTAAAATGTTTACGTAAGGCCGTCCTACGTGCTCGTCCTGTTAGCTATCTTTTTGCTAGGGATGCACGATATAATCGGCCCCCTATCGGTATCGGCCTCAAAACTGAATATCGGACATCGGCCACCCCACCGATATTTAACCCGATATTTGATCAGCTTCTGAATTTCTAAAGTCTAAAATAAATAAAAGACTACTTCTTCTTCTTCTTCCTCGAAAACTTCTTTTTTACAGACTTAAAAAGTTCTAAAGACGAGGGAAAAAATATTGATACATTAAAATATCACAATATCTTCATAAGCTGATATATTGCCATTTATATATTGCTATATGTCATCGTTATGCTACGAAATCCCACGAAAATCCACGAAATTTTGCCATATTTTTATATGTTGATATATTGACACGGTATCAATCTATTTTACTAACAAAATCTCACAAGAATTTGCAAAATATCACGAGAGTTTGTAACAGAACGATGAAATTTCACGAGATTTTGAAAGTAAAATAGATCGATACCGCGTTTTTAAAAATCTATTTGATATCAGCATATGAAAATATATTTGAGTATATTATTTTTCAAAGTGTCAGAAATGGATAATAAAACTGCTATTTTCAATGACTACTTATTTTTGTCCAGCTTTAACATTGATATCGATATCGGTTATCGGCTACATGAATTTTAAAATATCGGCATATCGGATATCAGCCAAAATCCCAATATCGTGCATCCCTACTTTCTGCGTATGCACACTTTAAGGTGTATATCTGTGGTGAGCTATGGTTTCAGACCATTGATCTCTATTTATTCACTGGATTGCTGATAGTGTTGGTAGTACGGGATTGAAGTGAAGTCACCGGCAGCCATATTGGTACTCCCTAGTTAGACCGGTTACAATGTAAATCATATGTGCGCTACAGCGTCGAACAATGATGATGTTCTCATTTTCAGGGGAACTTAAGACTTTTAAAATAATTGCATATTTAGTCAATATCTTTGAGTCAGTCCAAGATAGCCAGACTGTTACGCTTTATACTATACTACAAATACATTTGCCTATATGTGGATTTTCTTGGTTAGTTCATCCACTGACTGTCAAATTATCTGTGGCTCGTCATCCCACAGCCGGCAAACTGCTTGTTTTTGCAGCCAAATGCTACAAACATTGGCATTTTTACCGTGCGTCTTCGTTGGAGTGGGGAGCACCAATATGGTGATCAGTGGCTTCACTTTTTTCGGGCAATCAGCAATCCAGTGAATAAATACATCTGTGTTTCAGACAGTCATTGAAGCTCACCTTTCTCACCACGGTTATTTGAAAATGGAGGGTTGTAAGAGAAAAAGTGTCCATGAAGTTAATGAGAAGAAAAGAAAGGCCTCAGAAGAGGCAGATATATCCCAGAATGCTTTGCGCTGAGAGCTCTCCTAGCAAAGTATTATGGGATTTGCTGATCTGTCTGAATGGCAAGTTAAACGAGTTCACTATATAGTTCACTATACAGTCCCCGCTCTGTATAGTGATTGAGGGATTTAGTGGTTAGGGCGTACGTTCCTGCACAGTAGGCTTGTATGAGCTATGAGAGCAACAAGTTTTAAACGGAGGAGAAATGGGCTTGTGCACGCTCTTGCACACATTTAATAGGCCTTCCCTTGGGAGCAGGTACAGGGTTGTTCAGGTGTTCAGGTGTTCATTTTTTTTTAAAGTGGAGAGGGTGGGTCTTTGGAAAAATTTGCGAAAATCCTCCACTATACCTTTAAGTGCAATGGTGTGACCTCAATTCCTTGCAGTGGTTCATCCAATCATGCAAATATGACCAAACGGAGCTTCGTACTAAACGGTACAGCTGTGTTAAACACTTTAAATTCAGCAATGTTTTATTTCCTTATATACTAAAGGATGTGCCATTTGTCCATCTAATTTAAAGTCAGCATTGGCTTCAAATAACATCCATAAAAAGTATGCATAGGCGTCTTATTTTGTAAATACTAGTCATAATACATGAATAAATGTAGGATTTAATAGTACAGGAAGTTGGTATGCTCCTAGGAGCTTAAAAGGAGAAGAAAAGGAAGCAGACAGAAAAAAGGAGCATCAATCAAAGGTTAAATAAATGATTGTGGCTGACCAGGCGAACTCAGCTCGGGACTTTCAGTCCTGGGAGGATTAACATCAGATATCTTCTGTTCAGGTCCTTCTCCAATGAAGCATAACCAAACCACATGAAGCGTCCAGCTCTATGCCTCAAAGCTGGCATAACGTTCCTTTGCTTGAAAATGCTGTATTTGCTGCTGATGTTTGTCTGCTTCCTGTCTGGGAAGCTTTATTTGCATTTTCTGTTTTCCCCAGAGAGCAATGATGTCCTTTGAGAGCTTAGGTTGTGTAGACTGTTTGTCTAAAAGTGGGTTCAGTTCAAAGGTTTTTTTTTGTTTGTATTTTTTATCCTTCTTTTAGAGTCTTGCTGTCTGTTTTTAGGTTAAACCTGCTTAGATGGCTCTACTGCAGTGCTTTCCTATAGTCGGTGTTCAAAAGTCGTTATTGTTGACTTTTTTAGAGGAGTGACTGATTTCAGATCCTTTTGAGACTTAAAATCTCTGACCGGACCTGTGAGCTGCTACTACCTTTTTAGTAAATCCCTGTCGGCTGCCTTTGATCTCAGCACGGTGTTTGCTCCCACTTCTCATTACGTTCACCTGATTGCTTGTTTGATATCAGCCATTATAAATGGGAATTAATGTTTGGTTCTCCAAATGTAAGCCTCACCAAAAGTCCTTATATGGGGAGGCAGAAGAAGCCTTACCTTGGTATAAGAACAAGACAAGCAAACACAACTCTCTACAGAAAAGGGAAAAACATTTAGGGTCAAGCATAAGATTTAAAGGATCTTTAATCAGTGGAAAGCTCATTTTAAAATTCCTATTAGACAAAAAAACTATATATATATATATTCCCAGTAAATATTGGGTTTTTGGGGAAAGTTTAATGAAATCAATGCATATTTATGTCAAGAAAAAGAAAAAGTTAGTCATCTTAAGTTTGATTGAATGAGTTGCTGTAATGCTACGTTCAGACCGCACGCGCTAGAAGCAGCAGAAGCAGTTAGTTCACATGCAAAGTTGATGGTTGCAAGCATCAAGGTGCAGCAAAAGGTCCTGCAGCACTTTTTGAGCAGCACCTCAATGTCAAAACCTGCCTCATTATTCAGGTTCCGGCAGTTTGGATTACGTACGTGAAAAACACATTCCAGCCGCCACAAAAAGTAGCGGAAAACCCACAACACGCCGCCAAGCCAGAGGCTGCTGTTGAACGGGATTTCCAGTGACAGAGTACCGCAGGTGTACGGGGTTCTGAGCAGCTCAGTGAAATAATATTTGAAGGCAGGATCATAATCTTGATGGACTGACTGAACAGATGAGGTTTTCAGGTGGACCTTCTCACTTAAAAACATGTTAAAACTACTTTTTACCCACTGATCACAGCAAATATAGCAAATCTGCTCTCTGCCATTGAACACAGGAGCAGCAGAAGCATCAGCCGCATCTTTAAACACGTTACTGGACGCGCTTCAGGTGTGTCAAAGCTGCTCTTGAGGCGCGTCTGACCTTAATGTGAACAACCAACAAAAATGAAGCAGCAGAAGCTTTTTAGCTGCTTCTAGAGCTTGCAGTCTCAACAAAGCATAAGCCTCAAAGTCGTCTTTCAGTTTCTGTTGCTGACCTATTTTCTCTCTGCTATTTTCTTTCTGTCAGAAACCGAGGAAACCACCTCCACCGTCGAAAACAGCAGGTAAAGAACATTTTACATGCTCGGTTTGGTTCAGTTAACAAATCTGAGCGTTGGCTAAGGGCTCTTCTTGGCATCTGCTTGTTATCTGTTACATGTGAAGGTCAGTACACAGTGGTAAAATAAGTTTACACAGAGTGTTAGAGGCATGTTTTTTTTATCAGTGACCTTTCTCCTTCCTCTCGGGGTTTCTTCAGATGTTCCCAGTTTTGACATATGTAACTCCACTGGCATGTTTTGGGTCCACTTTAAGCCAGGGCCATTCAGGCATCTTCCAAAAAACAGTCAACAGGGAGGTGTTAGAACTGATTTTTCTAAAGCTGCATTGGTTTTGTCAAAAGGCTTGTATTTTTGTCAGCATGAATGAGCAGGTGTTCCACTCCAAGCTTTCCCTTGGGCCCTGAACTCTTAACTGAGTCTATAAGGATCCCATCAAACTGAATTAAGACAGTCTGCAGCCTCCAGGATCTTACCAACACTTCCATGTAGTTGCATCGTAGCATCAAAAGGATATTTTTTTTCTTTCTTGACATCCTCACTTTAATTTGACTTTACTTTCTACATTATTCCCTTACAGCCACCATCAGCCGTTGCATTTCCTAATTCTGCAGAGTGGTGCCTGACTTTACACAAGTGAATAAAGTGAATGTGATTGGTCAATTTTAAAGGGGGCGGGATCGTTATGGCGGAAGGTTCGCAAGCAAGTTTGATTGTGGCTGGTTTATCGGAAGCATCATGCTAACCAGTTAGCAACTTAGTGCTAGTAGGTTCCCAATGGGAAATTCCATTGGGACCAAGTAGCACTAAATTGGTGACTTAGAAACGACACTGTCAAGGAACGCTATGGACAGAGGAAACATGCAAGAGGAGGAGAGTTTAGTGTCGGAGGTCGTGGATGAGTCTCCTCCATCATACATTTTTTATATAGATGAGGAAAGCGGGGATGAAGATGTAGTGGAAGAGGACGCCAGGGCGGCAGAAGCTTGGTTTGGTGTAGAAGGCTTCCAGCCGTACATGTTTGAGCCCTTGCCTCGCAACGCTGCCAGTTCTGTTAGCTCTACGCCTGCTGAAGACACAGACGTCCATCCCCGTGAACACTGGGACGGAACTTAATGGGAAAGGAAACTATTCTTATTTCGACCGTTGCGTATATTAGCTGCGACATATGAATCAAGATGCTATAACTGAAAACATTTGATTGACAGATGACCATTGATATATGATTGGCCGAATTTAGGTGTTCAGGCTGACGAATAACTAACTGGCCTGAATAAGATAACTGAAAAAGAAACAACACAGATTTTAGACAGGATTTTATTAAAAAATAGAATTTTTTTTAAATTTTGGGAAAATATCATCTGATAAAGAGTACATTTATATACATGTTTAAGCCAGAATGATTTGACATTTAAATATGACTTACCTACAACTTTAAGCCTTGCTGTTTAAAAGTAAACATCATAAATATATGTTTCATATCAGCAAACAAGACCTTTTTTCCCCTCCTAGTGATTTTAATCTGGTGCAGGGCTAAATATATATTTTTATATTCTTGGGGTTTTTACTGATCAGTTTGAGCAGATCACAGTAAGGCTGTGGATTTATCTGAGCTGGATTGGAAACATTAATCAATATGAAACTATTTGAGCTGTTGCTGCTCTCCATCATAACTAAACGCAATCCCACAGCTTCCCTTTGACAGTCTGACTGGTAGAATTAGCGTTCCAGCTCTATTAAAAAAAAAAAAAAACAGAGGACCTCAGAACCTGTCTTTGTGCAATTTGGAGTGGTGTGCACTTCTTCACATCTCTGACCTCTGTTCCATTCAGCTTGTTCTGCAGCATTTGATCTCTTTCAGCCAATAAGAGACGAGCGCTTCACTTTGTGGCCAGTTGTTATAAATAAGTGACACCTGCTGCTACAAGGCTCCTCCACTTTCCAATTTCCATCCAGATTCCCACACTTTTCAGACTTGTTTACCTTCAGATTGACTCTACAGAGCACTATTTATGAAAAACCAGCCGCCACAGAAACAGTTTCTACCTCCATCTCACACTCTGAACACCAACAGTCTGACTGGTACCACACACTTTGCACTAATACGGTCGTTGGTTCCTCTTTTGTAAAAGCATATTTATATATAGATAACAAAAACAAAACGAAACCCAAACATTTCAATTCCTTTTTTTTTTGACAGTTTTAACTGAAAATGTGATCAAATTGGAACCAAAGTCAAATTTCCTGGCTGTGTACACACTTGGTGATTAAATCTATTTCTGGGGACCCAAATGATGTTTGAGGCTCCACAATATCACTACACAAGTTTAATGCAAGTTCAGTTTTAGCTTCCTTCCTCCATGAAATAAAAGGAGAGAAAATACATGTATCATCTGCATAAAATTGGATCTTCGTCGTGAGGCATAAAATATAACCTCATGATAACATTTATCGTCCGTGTCGAACAAGATTTTCACTTCCAGAGCTGAGATATATTTACATTATCTTAGAAAACAATTACAGTATATGCTATAATTGCTTACTGTAAACCAGTGCTGCCACTTTTTGAGGTGCTAAAGGCTCAGAAGCATTGAGGTTTTCCTGTTTGCTTCATAAGCAGCGCTGTGTTTTCACTCATACCGTGCTACACATGCACTTTGCTGCAGTTTACTGGGGGCTTCCAAGACAACTGTTTTTGCTCACTTCCTCTTCTTAAGACATTTACTGGATGCTTATGCGTATGATGCTAACTGGTACCTGGCAGCAGGTTTTCTAACATGTTAAAGAACAGACGACGGGGCGCTGTTCATTCTCACTGTCGCGTGTTGAATGAGTTGGGTCGCTGACAATCTGGACCATGTTTCGTTTTTCAGCTTCCAAGCCAGAACTCCCCAGCGCTGAGAGGAAGCCTCATCTCCCCCGGCCAGAGGACAGAGGTACAGCTGGATTCCCCATCCTGTCTCTTCTCATCCTTCCATCTCTTTATACCGCCACTGACATTTCTGTCCAATTTCAGCTCTCTGGGCAATAAATAATCCTCCGTTTCATCTGGGTCTTGTTTGTCATGCGTTTCTATATTTTCCTGTTCCAGATCTTTCATCCTTAAGAGAAAACACTCTTGTGATGTTTCTCTTTGCTGTCGGCTTCAGGCCTCTGTCCTCTTCCAAGCTTCCTTCTGATAACCATAATTTCCAAATGATTTATTATATTACTGACTTCTATTCTCAGTGTAAGAATGGATATAGAAACATTCACACAACCTTTGTTAGAAATCTTTCTATTGGTTTTATTGAGTTTTAGTTATGTTCAGGTAGTTAAAATTTAAATTCGACTGTTATAAGCTTCATTATGGGAATGAATGGATTTGAGGTTGGCTCAAAAAACTCACATTTTCTTCCTTTAAGCTGTTGTCAAAATCGTAAGTTGATCAGCCTGAGCTGAAAAAGATAAATGGGACTGGTTTGTACAGAAGTAAGGTGTTGGTAGTTTTTGTTGTGATTAAAGCAAAATCTTTCACTTGTTAAATTTCAACCATAATAAAAATGGTGTGTTATAAACCTAAACACAAACTTGAAACATATTTACGGTGTGACTGAACTGACCTCATATATATTGGAAAAGCAACTGCTGCAGTTTTGGATATTTAATTACTTGATGCATAATTAAGGAAGAAAACTGCAGAGAGCTGATGAGGCGTGTTCAAGAAAATGAGTGACAGCAGGCAGAGGAAGATTATAGCCTCTATTATTATAGGTTTTCTGTATTTCAACATATTTATTTAATAGATTTTTTAGTTTTAAAATTTTAAATTGCAGTAATATTTTTTTTAAACCAGCTACAGTAATTTTCTCGCCATAGCTACATATAATATCTAAGGTTTCCAGTCCTAGTTGTAATGAAACACTGTTGTGGAAAATGAACATTTTTCTCTACACGTTTTGTTGAAGGATGTTCAAAAAGAATGTTGCTCCAAATGTGTTCAAATGTAAAAAATTTTGAACATCCTGCACGTTTTGTATTTTTCTTTTTTCTCTACAGTCACACTGAGAGTCGATCGATCAGATAGTAGCTGGTTGATGAGCGAGATCTAGCCTTCGTTAGAAATGCTGCCACTCCTTCTGTGTTTCTCTCAGCCAGAAATGTTTCCTTAAAGCGAAGGAGATATATTTTGTAAAGTAGGGAAAACTGTTTGGGTCTTTTTTTTTTAAAGCACACTGACCTGCAGTGTGCAGTTTGAACTTTAGGAGTGATATGAACTTTCCTCTTATCCTGGTTAGAGATGCACCGATCCGATACCTGGATCGGATATCGGCTCCGATACCGAATAATCAGCTGAATCGGATATCAGTGATTTTATATCAGAGATCTAATCCAGAGCTGTTTACATAGAACTATTACTTCTTTCTTTTTGCTGATTATTTATTAGAAAATAATATAAAGTTTATTTTTTTTTTTTTGTACATTACTCAACTCAAATTTTTATTAGAGGGGGTCTAACTGTTCAATGTTTTATGTGTATTTCTAAAAGCACTAAAAATAAGGTATAAAGAAATCCTGGAAATGTTCTTCAGGTGATAAAAGGCTGACTTTACTGCCTTTATGAGCCTCTGAAGGTTCAGGTCTGAATCCATCATGATTTCAGCTATGATCAGTTGTTTATTGTTGTAATAGCTGCAGCTATTTGCTAATCTGGATCTCTTCTCCTGTGGATTATTACCTCAGTTAAAAACATTTACTAAAAAGTATTAGAGTGCTTATTCTTGTGAGTTTCCTTAGCTGTAACTACTTAATATTTAGGGTTTTGGGAGTTTGACAGTGTTTGCATAGAAATAGCTCAAAAAATATATATTGGTTTATTCATTTGTTCCATTATTGTTATTCTGTAAAATGAAGTTAAAAATAAATGCAATCCAGAAACAAAACTTTTAAAACAATTTCATTCAACAAAATGGAAAAAAAAGTTTTTGTGTATAATGTTGCAGTTTACTCAGAATTTTTTTGTTCCATTTATTTGTTGTTTTTTCATATTATCATTATTCTAAAAAACATTCTCTTTTTTTCGTTGCACTTTGTATTGTAATTTAGCTTTTTCTGTCGTGAGGAGCAAAGACAGTTTTATGGATACATTGAAAAAATAGAAATTGAACATGCAAAATTTGAAAATAAAAATAAAAAAATTTATTTAATCTGTGAATTGAAATAAAAGGACATGTAAAAAATAAAAATATATATATTTGAAAAGACAAAGTCTAAGAAAACATTTTGTTTAATTTTTGGATTGCATTTTTTCCCCCCCTCAAATTTCAAATGTTTATTTTCAATTTTTTTTAAAGCTTTGTTTAAAAGCACTGCTCTTAATCATCCCTAACATCTCAGCCTAATTATTCATAAAGTGCATTAAGTAACATGTTTCTCCTCTCTGGTAGTTCATGTTCTCACTCTGAGATAAACTGCTGAAACATTCTTTCATTGCTCGTGATCTTTGCGTCCTCTGTGTAGTTTCTGTTAGGTCTGACCTATTCGCTCTGCCTGCTCAGTCCTTACATCAGTCTGGGGAATCTGGAGTCTTTTCTCTGAATCTCTAAAGGCTCGTTTAGGTGTGAAGCAGATTAACAGCTTTGTCATTGGAAAAACTGCTTACATTCCTCCTTAATGCAGAATCCCCGTTTCTAAGATCACCTGCTTTACATTCTGTGATGGTAACAAACTGCTTATGTTTGAAATGTTCTCATGGCTCTTAGAAATGCATTTTTCTACATGTGGATGATTTTTTGCGAATGTTTCAAAAGACCCGCCCTCTCCACTTTAAAAACATAAAAAATAAAAATGCACATGCACAACCCTGTACCCGCTCACGAGAGGAACGCCTATTAAACTGGGGCGAGAGCGTGCATGAGTCCATTTCTCCTGCTGCACGATCTGTTTAAAAGTTGCTGTTTGCATCACTAATACAAGCTTACTTTCCAAAAGAAGCATTGCAATTTTTTCCACTATGTCACTGGTAAGTGAAAGGTGGGACAAGCACGTAGGATGCCTTACGTAAACATTTCACCAGAATAATTGACATTTACCTGGAAAAAAGAATATTCTTCAGTATACCTTTAAGACATCTTTTTAGAATAGGACTATTTCAAGCAAAAGTTCACTTAAAGTTGGGCTTAGAATTAACATCTAAACCCAACTTTGAGAATGTTCTTATGGACAAAGGACATTCTTTTTCAAGTTAATTGAAAAAGCTTCCTGGATGGGAAGAGAAACGTCTTCAAACTTGAAAACAAAGTCCAATGGATGTTTTTAGTTTTCTTTTTTTCTAACCTTATTATCCTTTATTCTTTTCCTCATCTTTTAGCTCTTCTCACATAAAAAGAAGCATCTCCTGTCGGAGTGTTGCTGTGCAATTAGAGGCAAAAAGGTGAAGCAGTTTATTTAATCACTGAAATCATGTATTTATTTCTGTGTCATCTCCACAGGCGACAAGCCCACTCCAGAAGCCAAACCCTACAAGCCCCCCGCACCCAACCCACACAAGAAGCCGGTCCCTCTTCCACCCAAGAAGCCAGAGAAGCCCATTACTCCCTCATTAAACCTCAAGTATGTGCAGTTTTCTGGTTATGCTGCTTATCTGACTGACCTCTGGGAGGCTGAGCTGCAATATGTTAACAGGCTCCTGTCATGTAATGCATTCAGCCTAATGCCACTCTGGGAAATAACGGGCAAAGCTTCAACTAATCTAAGCCCCTCACAGCTTTTTAAGAGACCTCTGACGTTTCATCTTTATGGCTGCTGGTTCTCCATCACTGTCAGCTTATGGTACATAATGACAAAACATGTTTTAGGAATATTAAATGGGCCAAAGGCGCACATCCATAACATAAAGGGATTATTTCTCAACAGTTTAATAGATGTGAAAAGGACAACATGTTCTGCTCAGCCCGGGATTAACGATTGTGGCACTTTAGGTGTTCTGGAAATTCAGTCCAATGTGGAACCAGACTTGTAGTGTCCAAAATAATCTCTTATATCTAGAACTTTTTTTTTTTTCTCGATGATGCCACACAAGGTGGCAAAGAGGGTTTTGCCTCCATTAGACCCAAATGCTGTGAATTTACATTATTAGAGCTTCAATTTGCCGAATTTCAGAACAAGAGATTTTTATAGAGGGAGGCTGGTCGTCAAGTCAGGCTGATATGACACACAGAGAACTACAATCTGGCACTTGCTGCTAATTAGCTCTCCTTTGTGTGGTTTTTGGCTTCTCCACTTTTGTTAGGACAATTGATGTCCACCTTGGTAGGATTTTTATCAAACAAGCCTGTTAACCAGATAATATTAACTGTTAACAATCAGAAAATGTTTCAATTTATATCTTAGGTTTATGAGTTTAAATCACATTAATCTTAACTTCTCAAAACGGAGACCAACTTCAAACTCATTCTCAGCTAATATTTGAAGTCAGAATTCTGTCAAAGTGGCTGAAAGCTATGTAAAACACAAACTTAAACTACTCCGATCGCACGTTTTCAACGTTTTATGTGCAGATTGAAAACCACGAGACGTGAGTTCATGATCCTTTTCCTGCCTTTTATGCGCCTGTATCTCCTCCTTACCTGCGGACCTGTTACTTTACACTAATGCCAACTTTAATCACTTTGATGGAACTAATCCGTTATAGTAAACTGCCTGTGATCGGCTACCTTTCAGAAAATCCCTCTTCTTGAGGCGGCACCTTTTTCTTCCTGCTAGCAAGGTTAGCAAAGCATCTTCAGGCTAGTAGGTGTTGTCTACATATGTAGCAAATGTATCACCCAGCAGGATGACACCGTGCTTCTGTACGATGTTCTGCTGATTAATGTGAAAGATGAAAGCAAGTTGATTAAAACCAGAAAACACATAAAGTGAGTTTACAGGGTTTCCACGGGTCATTATATCATTAAAATATAATTGTTTAAATTAAGGCCTTAATTGATGTTAAAATTCATTAAATGTGATTGTTGTGGCATTTAAAATGCTTTGGAAAAAAAAAAAAGTTTATAAAAACAATTTATATATTTGCGCTGAACTGCTTCTGGGTGATCATAAAGCCGTATGTTCAAGAAAGAAGCTGAAGACGGAGAAAAAGCCAGAGAATGGGAAAATGCTCATTTCAACAAAAGTGGCCAGAAAACGAGGAATTTGGGACATGGTTTTATATGAGAGTCATGGATATGTATTGATGGCATTAAAATTATTTCTAAGAGCATTAAAGGAGCTTTAAAAAATTACTCTTATAAACTCTGGTTTAGTTTTATAAGCTCGTAGTCAACTGGGTTATTGAGCCAGTCTCTGGCTCGGCCCCTGTTCCAGCTAGGGGCGCTCCCCTCACTGTGCTCTGCAGGGCTTGGTCCCTTTCCTTTCTAGTAGAACAGTGGTCTGCAACCTGTGGATCCAGAGCCACATGTGGCTCTTTGGACCCTCTCCAACTAAATGATGTGCTATAATAAATACCAGTATTAAAAGCTTTAGAGTTTGAGATTAAAAGAACCAGAAATATGTTTTAAGAGACATTTTTCTTTGAATTAGCTTGGAAATTATTTGTTTTTAATATTAATTTAAAAGCTAAAATGCATTAATTGTTGATTGTTTAAGATGGCAACTAATGTCCTATACAAGATTAAAAAAAGTTTTTTTGTGTCATGTTATATTTTGTGGCTCTAAATAAACTTTTAAATGGTCAGACTTGGGGCAAACGGCTCTTTGGATATGAAAGGCTGCAGACCCCTGTCCTAGAAGAACCATACACATCAACATAAAACAACTTTATCTTTTCCTTTTTATGTGACGGCAAATAAACAGCAGTTGGTGATGGAATAATATTCTTATTATTTGAAGAGGGATCCTGAATAGAGAAGTTCTGCTATGTCCTGCTGGATGGATTTATTCTTTATTGACAAGGGCACACAAACTGACAATTAGTCATAATCTACTGAATAAGGTTTGCTTTGTGTTCTGCCACCAAGAAGGCTAAAAACCTTCCATTTCTTTTTGCAGCTGTATGTTTTGTTTGTTTTTCTCTTTAATAAACCATTCTATAGATGTTGCTGACTGTAGTTATATCAAGGAAGGACTAGAGAACACATTTGGGCTCATTCACCATTTATACATGGATTGATTATGATCAAAGCTTAAACACAGTCCACCAACTGAAAATGTTTACATTTTTATTTTATGGTATATCTAATATTTGTCCTTCATGTTTTATTTAACATGCTTCTCCTTCCGTCTTTCTTTTGACTGCAGGCACAATGGAGAGGTGCCTCCTACACGACCAAAGTCAGAGTTAGAGCCAGTATTGCCAACGAAACAGAAAACGCTGTCTGGAGACTTTGGGGAGAAACCTTCTGATGCAGGTAAGTCACCTCAGCCATCCAAATCCTCCCTGCTTCAGTGAGTTATGGATTTAGAGAGTATGTACTCAACTGGTGTCTCGAATCTGTTTAGTCTTTTCCAACAAAACCTGTTTCCAAAAAGCTGTTTTCTTTCACGTGTGTCTGCTGCAGCTGCAGCTGATTAAAGTATGTCAGACACTGCAAAATTTGAAGTCAGTTTTTCTTAGATTAAATGCATTTTCCCTGGATTTGAGCAGGTAAGATCATTTGCTAAAGGGTTAGGTAACCGTTTCATCTCTAATTCGTTAAGCAGGACTGAGGGAGAAAGTGGCTGTTCAGCTCCTGCAGTAGTGGTAGCCTTGTGTGTAGAGAAACCACCTTTCTCCATAGCAACAAGTACTCCAGCTTGGAAGTCATCTCATGTCTGGCACGATATTTTTTCAGATTTAGACATCTAGGGTGTGTTAAACAAGGCTATCATATGAGATTACAACAGGATGAGGATTTTTATCTTCAGTAAAATGTATTCATTACTAAGTAGCATTTACCTACAAAAAGAACTGATACAGATATTTTTGTCCTGACCTACTTGGTTTTCTGGAAAAAAAGAATCAATTATTCCATCTGCTGCTAACATATTAAAATGTTTATTTTAAGAGAATAAATTAAAAATATATTTAAAAAAAGGGGCTCTGCTTTTTATAGAGCAGTGCTGAGATTATTAACAGATTTATTTCTAGACATAAAAAAGTGGTTCTCTGGTTTCCAACTAATAGGAGGCAAACCTGAAAGTATCGACTTAGTATAGCCCATGCTTTGGTCAAATAGTATCTAGAGAAAATAAAGAAACCGCCCTAATAGTTAGTGATGCTAACAGTGTTAATCAATGATTAAATACAAAAGATGTAAATAAAACCACCATTTTACTCATATATACACCCAGTAGTTGTGTTGTTGACCTATTGATGTAATTTCCCTCAGTCTCTCGGCTTCATGTAGTCGAGCCTACTTCTAAATAAGGAGTTACTAAATTTACAAACTTCTTACACCATCTTCTTTAATAGAAATTAGGTTCTGAAAGTCTAGCGCATTTCCCAATACAAACACACAAACACTATCTCTCAGTCTATACTTCTGCTGAAACACGGACATGAACACACCACCAAATCAAACCCAACAGAAAATAATTCAGTAAATTGCTGTCAGTTTTTCAATTCACAAAAGCGCGAGTATGGACTCGTGTTTTCGCCAAGTATATTCTTGAGAAGAACAAAGAAAAGTATGGAATCTGAGAAAAGGGAGCATGCAGCATAAATATGGGTCAATTGGAACAGAAGCGTACTGATGACATCACCATAAAATGGAGCTGCATTTTACCTCTTGTTATTAATAGTCTCTAGATAATAAATTCTTCTTTTTCATTTAGTGCATAAAAATAATGAACACAGTCAGATAAACATAAATCAAATGAACATTTTGCAAAATAAAATAAAAAACTCGCCATCAGAGCCAGCGGTCCTTCACACACACAGCTATGCCGAAAGACGGCCGCTGCAGACGGGCTAACGCTAGCCCTGGCTGCTGTTAGCCTCGGAGGTCCGCTGGTTGCTGCAGTCCTCTCAGCATCGGAACTTTCTTTAAAATTATGCACTAAATGAGTAAATGGACCATATAGTGAAGCTTAAAAGTGTAATGTTTAAATCTCAAATGATCTTTAAACATAGTTTGATTGAACAGTGTTGTGCCATAAACCATGATCATAATTTTGAACATTGAGAACCAATGTCCACAGGTCCCCTCCTGGAGGTGTGCCTTGGCCCCATGGAGCCAGTTGGCTGAGATGGGGTTGCAGAGCAGAGAAGAGAGATCTCACAGCTGTTCATGAGCAAAACTGCTTCCTCTTCTCTGGTTATCATGTTACGATGAAACATGGACATTGGTTCTTATCGTCCAAATTTATGATCATGGTTTATTTCACAAGAGCAACAGAAAAGAGAACTCTTTACTTAATACTCTGAGCTCTGTGAGCGCTCCCCTGGTAGCTGCTGCTGCCGCAGTGCATTCTGGGACAGCTGTCAATCTCAAGCACAGACAACTCTGCTCTGATGCATGCTGGGTAAAGAGGGAGGGGCGAGAACATAATCCAGGGACTTTGTCCGTTCTCAGTTTTCTTGTTGTTGTGAATTGGAAGAGTGTAATTGCTGAGGCTGATGACGTTTCACGAGTACATGAGAACGCACAAGTACACATATTGAGGAACTGCATTTCTTTCAGTTATTATTACTAGTGGTCTTAATGGCTGGTCTCCCGCATGAAACTGTTCTCTGGTTTCCATGACGTCACTTTATCCACTACTTAGCACAAGAACTTCATTCAACCCTCATCTAATCAAATTGATTCATTTCTTTAAAGACACTAAAGTAAAAAAAAAAGAAAAGACGTCCTTTGTTCCTTCATCCCTGAAGGAGCAGAGATGTCTGCAGCACTTGTGTGAAGCTAAAGTCAGAGTGAATGAAACCAGGCAGCAGCAGACTTCACTGAGGAATAAATAGATTTGGGACTAATGTTTTAAGAGCAGGAAAGTGTAGTGATAAACGGGGACAAATGGGAGGCTGAGAGGTCACAGTGGGACGACATCACAGATGGCTGAATGAGGCCGACCTGAAGGCATGTCATCCCTTAGAGATGTCTCCTCCCGACAAGCAGCCGGTGAAGGTGCTGAAACCGCTCCACACAAAACACTCACTCACACTTGGCGGGTGAACATGAAAACTCAATCATTCCTGCAATTACAGGCAGAGCTTTCTGTTTGCAGGCGATTACTGCAGAGTGGGTGCAAAGTGCTGTGGCAGGCTGCAACAGAAACACGTTTTATTGAAGAGCTCTGAGGGACTCCTGCTGTTTGTCACATTGGATGATCTTAAATTGATACCTCGCCATTCTAATAGAAATCTGCTGGAAAAATATAATAAAGTATTAGCGTTTTTTATTTTTATTTTAATAGCTTCTTCTTCATTTACTGCAGGAAAAAAAGCGATTTTCATTCCGAGAAACTGAAATATTTCCAATTATGTTTTAATTTCCTTTTTTCAAGGCTGTTTTTTTTTTTTCATTTGTAGCAATCCTTTATAATGGGGGAAATGCTTAAAGTGTTGAAGGATTGTTGACTTTAGCCTAATAGTATAAAAAAAAATCGTGGTGGAAATGAATTCATCTGTAAAGAATGAGAGAAATTCAAAGATGCTAAAATTAGAGGAAAGTTCTGGAATCTGTTCACCTTATCAGCCAATGCAGACCAAAAAAACATCCACCATCTGCTGTTTAGTGTTGATATAAGTTTATTACTTTCTTCTACAATCTTCCTAAATGTTTTTTCCAGCATTAATATTTCACCTCTTGCTGATCCAAATCATGAAATGAAAAAACAACCGGTAACATAGCTTTGAGATTACAGCCTTTACTTCTAAGCTAAGAAACTCATGCCTGAATGGCGTTAATGACCTAAATGGGTTTTCCTAGGTGCAAAAATGAGACCCTGCATGGAGGTTATTTTTGTTTTTTAAAACATATTATTTGTTTACAATTCAGAGACTGAAGTGGAGGAAAGCAGTACTAATGCAATAAAATACTGCTGACCAATGAAAATTTGTCCAAGCTGTAGTAAACTATGAGCGATGGTTAAAATCAGCAGACTTTCTCAGAATGCCCCATAGAGACCTTACTTATCTGCCAGTATATCCTTTTGGGTCCCCATGGGGCTTTGTTTTATACTGAACCAGAGAAAACTCCCAAAACTTAATGTGACTCCAGATGAACACCTTAGCTAAATGGGTACTTTAGTTTAAAAATCTTCAGATCCACATTCTAGACTTGTTCCTCTGCTGTCACATTTGCTAATTTAAGTAGCAGCCAGGAAATAATCTGTCTGCAAGCTGAAAGGCACTCATATGTAATGAAATGAAATTGGTTGTGTCACTTCACCCTTGGATGTACTTTTTAGTCACGACTTCCCTCTGCTGTGTCCTTTTCCTTATCTCCACGTCTCCTCATCTCATCTGCTTTCAGGAGATCTGATGAGTTTTGATGACTTGTCCGGAGCCTCCGAGAAACTCACTCACCCAACGGCTAACAGACCAAAGATGCCTGGCAGGAGGCTACCGGGCCAGTTTGTCACGGGACAATCGGTAAGGATGATTTTACAAAAAAAAGGCGGGTGTGTGGGGGTTAGTTCCAGTTTAACCCATTTAGGCCTAAAACGCCTGGAAAAAACACCTTAAAAACCTATGGCCGATTTTAAAAAATCCCCCTAAAACCTGAAGTTTTTCTGTAAATTCAGCAACTGTGTCAACGCCTAGTAAATTATTGATATCTCAGCTTCTGTAGCAGATAGAACTCAAAATATATTTTATCTTTGAAATTCTTCCAAAAAAAAAAAAGTGAAAAGCAGTAATAAAAAAAAAAAATAAAATTCAACCTTTTATTTTTTCCATATGTGATCATGTCTTCATTGAGAATGTGCAATATAAAACGTTTTTAAAATAAAGAACAAACATTACATAAATAACTATCTGATCATTACTTATTAACAGTATTATTATGCATAATAATGCATATGTCTGTTATAAATTGCATACAACTTACCTCCAGATGGCCACAAATCTGTCCCGGGACATATTTTGGGGGAACTGCGTCCTGAAGAGAGGTTTACTCTGTCGCCAATAATCTCTTCGTACTGGCAACACAAGAAGTCCCATGCCCATACACAGCCCAATAAATGTCTTCATCTCCGTCACAGTCACGGGTGACCACTTTGCCATCTTTGCTCTTGTTGGAGTTTGGTTTGTTTGGTCACTGTACCTATTCGTCTCGGTAACAAGATGCATCCAAAGTTCTTCATTAAAAATATGCTCAAATGCCTGCAGCGGTGTGGCGTCTGCAGGCAAATCAACTTTCACTCCAGGTGTGCGGATGAAAACACTCCGTGCATTGCGGTGGTAGTTCGATTGGTTCAGCGCGTTCAAAGTCATCATTTTCATCTATACCGTCATCAAAGCCGACACACTCCTCAAAATCACTGCCTTCCGACAACTCTTCTCTGTCAAACTCCTCCATGTTTGCTTGAAAAAAACTTCTTTCTTCTTGCTTGACTTATATGCTCTCCCGGCGTCAATGGTAGAATTACGCAACAGCGCCCCCGACTTGAATGGTAGAAATGCGGTAATGCTTTCCCGGCCTAAATGGGTTAAAGCCTGTGGCCTTCTTACAAAATACTTTAATTAAAAGGAGCAAAGGGAAGATTGATGAAATGGAAACACTTATTTTTTATTTAGAAGATCCTGCAGCTTACCTGAACCTTAGGAAACTTTTAAAAATACTATAACTATTAACTTAACCATGTTTAAATGGACATAATGTCTTGTAACTATAAAGGAGCCCAACATGGTTAGATGGAAGGAGAAGGTAAATGGCTTTCAGCAGTCTGTAGTTTGATACCCCTAAAGCAAACCCAGTTTTCATTAGTAGTCTCCTCTCTACTTTGTAAGGGTCATGGCTCTGATTTAAGGGCTTATACTTCTGCGGCAGTGTGTCGCAGTGAGCTTGCCGCAGATATGATGCAGATATTTTGGATTTATGCCCAGCATGAAGCGTGGTCTGCGCTATGATATTCCACGCCACAATGCGAGAAGGACCATCACGAACTAGCTGTGGGTCTAGTTACGGCAGAGGAAGTGGGGTAAAGTTTGTGCAACAACGGAGAGACCTGAGGGCCAAAAATAGTGGGGATCCAGGTGGGAAAAGGGTCCCAGCCTTCTCGCACACCTCGCTCTTCTAGCTGGTCCAACGTCAAGAGTCGTTTTCCACGATGGCGGTCATACAAACAAAATGAGCCGGTAAGGTACCAAACAGGAAATACGCAGTGTAGTGCGAATGTAAATTTGACCAATCAGAGGCCTTCTGTCTGCAGTCACCTACAATTTGGAAGAGGTGCACCAGAGTGTCTGCGGAAGGGGGGGGGGGGGGGGGGCATATATGCGTTAACTGTGACGCACACGCAGACGACCTGGTTTCTGAGCATAAACCAGCTTTTACTCTTGACATAAAACAAACCCAGAAAAAACTCCAAATGTACAGAGACAAGACTTTTGGGTAAAACTGAAACAGGGCGAGGAATGCATTAGTTACTCTGGAGGAGCTGCACAAACCTGTGGAGGAACCCGACAGTTCTTGGTTTTATGGAAGAGAGGTTAGATTGAGGTAGAATCAATTGGATCATTAGAATACAGTTTCAGTCACATGAGACTAAATAAAAACTTTTTAGTTTGTAACCACATGTGGGGGAATAAAAAAATGCTCCAAGGTGATAGGAAGGTATATGAAGCTAATTAGAGGAAAATCCTGATAAGAAAACAACTAAGATAAAGGTTCATCAAACATAAGAATTCCAAAAAAGTAAAAAAAAAAAAAAACAATCCACTGTACTTGGTTTCCAAGTTTGAAGATATTTGGCTTCCCATCCAGGAAGCTTTTTCAATTCAAAAGGTCAGAAATAGCGTTGAGTTTGACAGTGGCCCAAAGCTTCAAACTGAGTGCTATTTCTTACATTTTCAATTGAAAAAGCTTCCTGGATGGGAAGCCAAACGTCTTCAAAACAGCCAAGCAGCAGTGAAAGGGTTTAGATCAAAGCCTAGTAGTGAGTTGGAACAGCCCAGTAAAAGTCCAAATCCAACTTAGAATCTGTGACCAGACTTAAAATGTTTGGATTCAGCTGCTAAGATAGAGGTTCTTCAAAGAGAAACGGGCAACATTTGAGTCTTTAGTTGAACAGATCTAGTAGACGTATAAACGTTTAGACATGTACTCTCCAGATTTAGATTTAAAAACTGAAGTATTATTGCCCCACCTCTTTACAGTCCTCAGCAGTTTGTATTGATCCATCTCTAAAAGTCTTTGTAAAGTATAATGACGATGATGGATAAAAGTTGAAAAATATCAGATAGTTCCTGGAGTATAAATTAAGGCTGGGGAATTAATCTATGAATCAAATCATTTATATATGAAGATTTAATATTTGGAAATTATGGATTTATTTCTTTTGGCTTCAATAGATAAGAGAGGCCTCAGCCCTAGTATAAATCAATTTAATAGACTTTATATCTGCAGTTTTTAGATTGCATTGATTCAAATCTTTCTCTTCTGAATTAAACTTTAAAGGCTGTCCCATTAAAAATGACCTCAGAAAGGCTTAAATTAGGTATTCAGGTAATTCATCCTAAAGTTTACATAACTTCTTTTCAAAGGAATTAAAGTCCAGAGATAATAGAATGAAAAATGTCATTAATAATGTCTGACAGAAATATTTGTTGCACCTTTTACGCTGCTAAGCTGTTAGATTGGATTTGCTCTGCAGAGCTTTAAACACAATGAACTAATTATATGTGTGACTGATAAACAAAAGGTGCGTCGGATCTGTTTTTGAGTTTGCTGAGGGTCCCGATGCCAGACGTCAGGTTTAATCACGTTGAGGTTCAGAGGAATTCAAAAACACTCAGCCTTTGATTTTAAATGCTTCTAGCTTAATCCTTATGTAGCTTCAGAAAGGATCTCTGTAAATTGTTTTGTTTTATTAGTAACCAAAGAGGAAGACGTTGAGACTGTGGTTAGAGCAGAGTATGGTCTTTGAGAGAGACCTGAATTAAGTCTTTCTATGGCTTTAGAAAAAGCTCCCAAAATATACTGGGATGTTGTCTTTTCAGTTAGTAAAATGAAAACCATATGAAAATCGCCCGATGTCAGACAAAATGTTTCCTTGCAGCCTCCGAAGGACGTGGCTGCAGAGAAATCCTTCAAGTTTGATGAGGAGGATAGTGCCAAACCCAAGCCAACAGAACACAAAAAGGTAAGCAGTGTGTCGGTCCATATATTACAGAAAATGATGATCCTGGTTCATGGGGGCAGAGCTAATGTGTTTATTTCTATAATAAATTTAATTTGGAATTAAAAATGTCTTCAATAGCAGGAAGGTTTGAGCCTTCATCAGCATCTTACAGTTGCATCTGTCTTTTCAGGGTGGATTTTGTCCTTCTAAGTTTTTTATGATTCATAAATGTTTTATTGGGTTTAAAAAAAAAAAAAACACTATCGGTCAGCTTTTACTAGACAGATCAGTCATGTGAGAATCCTTTCAAACCTGCAGAAATACAAATTTAAGTATCTGAATTGAATTGAGAGTAAAAAAATTGTGGATCGGTGTATCCCTATTAAAAAGAGAGGAGGAGAAAAAACCACAATTAAATTCTGTCCAGTGTTGTTTGGACAGAATAATAATATAAATTGTTACTTTTATAGTTGTGAAATTGTGTGGATGCAACCAAATGTTGTGCTGGAGGAAACCCGAGACAATTCTTTAAAAATCTTTACATTAAAGGTACATTGTTACATGATGAAGTCTTTTAAACGTATATGCTAGTAGCCCTTTCTGTTTTATACTAAGTTTTTCTGAAAGATTTCCACCTTATGTTTGCTATTTTTGTATTTAACCCTTTGTTTTTGCTCTGTTTGTTAGTAAACAAAGCTCATCTTGTATATTTACAATAACAAAGGAGGTACAACACTGCGCAGGGAGTAAACAAGTACCCTACTATGGCTTCTATGGCTAGCACCTCCCAGAAAAGTGTGGAAATAATGAACAAAAAGTCTAAGATATGGAAAAATGTATTTTAATAGCAGAGGTATAAAACAGGGACGATGCTGTGAATACAGTATGAATGTTTGTGTTTACTGAAGCAGGAGCTAAAGCTGCTAAGGTGTTTGGATGTGGCTGCTAAGTTAATGGATGTGTGACTAAACATCCTTAATAATACAGTATATAGTGATAGTAATGCTGTTTTTAGTCTCTCCGGTTTAGGAACAGAGGAAATTCTATATAGATTGGTTGTTTCTTACCTTAATAATGTATCTCTGTTAGCATTTGGTTGGAACATGAATTTTCTTTTCATTAATGTTTGGATAGGAGTTTCTGGGAAAGATTTACTAGAACTTAAAACTGCTGTTTATCTGAAATCAGCGGGTTAACACGGGTCGACCAGCTAACCAATCAGCATTTGGCTGTGGTAAGATTTCTTATTTTAGAACATAGTTTTTTCTATTCAAAGATGTTCAAACATTCCCTTAATATTTAGATATCTAGAACTACAAGCCAATGCTTTGGTCACTTTTTTTATTACTATAATGATCAATTTTCTTATAGGCTCTAAGGCTTTATATATACATTTCTATTTTAGAAAAGGTAAATGTAAACTAGCTCCACAGGGGACTCTTTTAAGAAACTATTAAGCAGATAAACTCTAAGCTGGTTTTGATGTAAAAGGTGATTAAAGAAATTACGTACAGTTGCAGTCAAAGCTAGCCCCTTAGCTATCGCTTGGAGAGAAACAGGACTATGTACTGAGAAACAGGCCCAACTCTATAATTTCTAATCAAAAGGTGTTGATGGCAGCAGAGCAGCTGCAAACGGTCTGCTGGGAACGGCTCTGCTTTGGCTCTCTGCTGAGGTCCGGTCCAGTCAGCGGCTCAGCAGTCAACACGTCATTCCCAAATAAATAAATAAATGCTCACAGCTTGCGGTTGTGATAGCCTTACGGTTGGAACAACCCTTGGGAAGACTATGAAAATGCTCCCCTTTCTCTGAGGTGTCGATGGGATTTGAATTTCTCTGTACGTCCATTTCACCCACTGAATTATTGTTATTCATCTATTACAATGGAAACATAGTTTTGCATTCTATGACCCATTTAAGTTAGAGGTTGAACTAATAAATACCGCAGAATGGGAGAATAGAGATCGAATAAAGTAGATTGATGGAAAGTGGTACCCGTTCCATTAAAAAGGAATGTTTTAATCCTTTAAAGTAGACAGGGTGTCTGCTTCACAGTCTAAAACTGGTAGTTGTTTCCACAGGAGAGGAGCCTGATAACTAAAATATATGCCTTTTATTCTACATTTAATTTTACTTTTTGTTTGAGAAGTGCTCTGTTAGGAACGTAAGGAATGATCAGATCCCTGATATGAGCTAGAGCTTGAATATTTAGGAAAGGATGTGTGAGTCGATACAGCCAGCAGATGGGGGCAACGATGTCTGTCTGCTGGTGAGGCCTGGTGCAAAACAATCTTTAAAAGTTGAGAAAGTAAAAGTAACTGCTATCAGGAAATACGCTTTGCATGCATTGCTTTATTTTATGTATGTTTTTTTGACAAGACCCCCTTTTAGATGAAACTTACCCCGACTGATAACGTCTTAGTCAAACTGTTCAGATAAATGATTCTGCCTTTTTAGTTTGGTAAATATTTTGCTTCTTGTGTACATAAACTATGCTGTGTTATACAGAATTAAAAAAGATTTTTTTATTTGATTAGATATATTTTTATTTTATGAAAGATTGCTTTTTTTATTCTTCTGAGCTGTTTGAGTCACAGAAGTTTCTAACTTAACATGGCAGCGGTGTTTGTTGGAAAAACTCTAAAGGTATCGAAAGGTTTTTCTCCACCAGCGTGAATCACACTGACCAGTTAAGTAATCCCCAGCGGCATCGGGAGCCTGTAGAGGAGGAGGACGAAGCAGCACCCCCTGCAGCTCCATCCTCCACCTCAGCATTTTAATTAACGGTCTCTGATGTTATCCGGTCCGGATTGGTCATGGTCAGCTCAGTCGCATCACATGTGGCTGCCGAGCTGGAGGCTGAGCGGCTGCAGACGGGCCAAACGCGCTGCAGTCAGAAGCGTTGGCTGCAACAGATGGAATCCTCCTCCATCTTCTGACCTTGCTTTACAGGAACATTTTAACCCTGCTTGACATTGTATAAATGATGTGGAGGAGTTGAATTGGCTAAAACCAAAAGAATCCTTTTTGAATTTAGATCATTAAGTTGAAGTGAAGGATTTCAAAATAAATCAAACAATTATTCAATCATTTATTCTACTTGCATCTCACAGTTGCTATCAACTGTTTTTTCTTCTAAATTGAGTAATGATCAGTTTTAGCAAAACATTAAAGCAAGTTTATCTTTATAACAAGTTGATCTTTAGTCAAATAAATATATCTGCACTGTTCTAATTCTATTGTTTTCCAATTCACAAAAGGCGACACAGGCTTGTCTTAACCATAACATCAGGATGCAGATTATCAGGTCAAAACAGGTTCAAAGTCTGATATAATTAGAGAAGCCATTTGCACCTTTTCAGCTATTCACACCTCTCACTGAGGCCCTTTCTGAGGGATCCGCTCTCAGTTTATGTGTAAATAAACAAAGATGCACAGAGTAAGGTAATAGTTGAGAAAGAAACAGCCCATTGACGGCTCTGCTGTTGTTTCCAAACCATCTCAGATACATTCAGTCTTTTGAAATTCATTATTACACAATAATCGATGTATGAGTCATTTTGAGCTGATTTCCAGCTACAGCTCTACACAATGCACAAAAGTGCTCTGAATGCAAAGTAATATGAGACTCAAACGGCATGCTTGGCTGTGCAACCCATCAGACTACATGGAAAACTCAACCATTTTTCACTTAATTACGAGGCTTATTTAAAGACAAACTCAGGTAGCTGTTTACACACTAAAGATGAATTTAAGATGTATTTACCAGAGGATCTGAGTATCGCATGAGATGGTTGAATTAAAGTTGTGAGACAGACTGCTGACCTGACTGGACAGTCATTATCACCCAACACTAAAATAATCAGTTTAGGAAGGCTTATAGATACAGTCCTTCCTGCCTACCTCAGGGTCCTGGAAGTGTACGGTTCCTGAAGAGAATGAATACTGCAGCAAATCATCCTCTCTTCAGAGGGGAGGCTATGCTGCAGCCTGTTCTGGTCCCTGATGGTGGCAGCGCTTATCCAGGTAGTGATGAAGGTGGACAGGATGGACTCCATGACGACAAAATGCTGATTTCATAGACATGAGCCACTCCCGTAACATTCCTGATGTCAAAGATATAGTGGAGGACTTTTTGCGAAATTTTGAAAACTCTTCTTAGGAAAAACAAAACAAACGCATGCATAACCCTGTACCTGCTCCCGAGAGGGAACACCTATTAAATGCATGCGAGAGCGTGCACAGGCCTATTTCTCCTCGTGCATGGTCTGTTTAAAAGTTGCGTTGCTGTTTGCATCGCTCATACAAGCTTACCTTCAATGTTTCCACTATGTCAGACTCACCACCGGTAATGATGGACAATTAGGAGGACCACTTATTTAGATGATGCAACTGGAAAAAGAACATCCTCCACTATACTTCTAAACCACTGATAAAGCAGAGGCATCAGGAATATATTGCCTGGACTAAGAAGAGAAAGAAGTGAACTGTTGCTGAGAGGTCTGTAGGAATTGAAGTTCCCGTGGAAGTCCAGGTCCCAGAGTCTAGAGGAAGAGTGACGGACACACAGCCAGGATTAATCAACACCTCCTGTAATGACTGCTGATAAGACTCTATCATGGAGCAGAGCTGTACAGTAGCAGTAATGGTAGCATTCATTATGGCCCTTCCCAGTCAAACGCCAGACGAAAGGAAGCCCACTTCCCTGCAACTCCCAGCAAAATCCCCTCCAACTTCCAGCCCCTGGATTGACCCCCTCTCATATTTCTTTACTCTGACTCCACCCTTTCACTGAACTACAGGATCTGACCAGGAGATAAAGCTTCTCTTTAATGTCCACAAATCAAGACAGAATATTTTAGTAGAAAGATTCATGTTTAAAACGGAATTGTAGGGGACCAGCCATGTATGCTGATGTCTTTACAGCTGCTTTTTGTGTCTCTGCTTCTGTCTCCTTGAACCCCAGTCGGCCTCGGCAGATGGCCGCTCACACTGAGCCTGGTTCTACCGGAGGTTTCTTCCTGTTAAAAGGGAGTTTTTCCTCTCCACTGTCGCTACAAGCATGCTTAGTGTGAGTGATTGTATTTGAGTCAATGAGTCGATGCAATCAACTGGTTCTCCTTAGATAGAAAACTTTGTATCAATTTGACTGTATGATCTGGTTGAACTGGAAAGTGCCTTGAGATGACATGTGTTGTGAATTTGGCGCTATATAAATAAACTGAATTGAATTGAAGTGAATCCTCCAAACCAAGCTCTCCAACTCCGCTATTCCTGCAAAACTTCATCGACCCTCTTATCATTTTATGGCTCTTTTGCTCTTTAAATATTCAGATTTTCTACACTCCACAAAACTAAACCCCTTAAATTTTATGTGTAGTGAGTAATAAATCTTCATAAAATTCAGGTTTCAGTTTTTAGATTTCAATAGAGTTTGGGTGATGTAGTGATTCATAAAAATTGAGCTTTACCGATTACCTTGTCTTCTTTTATAATGAAGAAGTCAATCAATAACATGTTGAGTATTCACCCCTCTTTTTTAAATATGCCAATATTGTTACACCTTAATACTCTGAATGTGATAAAAGTATCTACAGTATAATTGTCTTCTGTCCCTCTTCTTCAGCACTCGCAGCCTTCCAACCAGTCTCCGCCCCTCCATAGGCCCTCTGAAGCCAAGCCCACCCCCAACATGGACACCATCATCTCACAGAACAGCAAATTCCACGCAGAGCCGGAGGAGCAGAACGAACTGAAGTACCAGATAAAAGAGCTGCTGTTGTCTGTGGAGCTGCTCAAAGCCCAGCAAATGTAAGGCAGCAGGATGTGTTTGAGTCTGGGGTTGCCCAGGAAACTCCACAAAACCAATATTATAACCTTGATAATGCATGTTTCAAATGAAATCTGCGTTAAATTGATATTAGTCACACTGAGAACTCTAAAGTGGTTTTGGTCAGAAAAAATACTTTGATTTGCACACAAAAAAAAGGGATTAATAACGAACAGAGCGGGTTTATATTGTGAGTCAGAAGTTTGCCGACACATCCTGATCGGTTTGTTTGTGCGTCTGTCTTTTTTCCAGGAAAGAGATAGCAGAGCTGCGACGAGAGGTGGATGAGGAGCGGCTGAAGCGCTTAGCCCTGCAGGTAGCATTGATCGCCCCAAGGCCCACACGCTGGGCTGTCTGCATTCATTAAGCCGTCAGCTTCAACAAATATTGATGCTTTTTATTCGCGCTCACAGAGCAGCTAAAGTAAAAATGATCCTGAATGTTACTGAGACAGTGGAGAGTTTTGAGCAGCCTTCCTGTAGAGCGTTTGGGTGGAAACAGGAGATTAGTTAAAGCTACAGTGTGTAATTTTTAGCGACATCTAGCGGTCAGACTGCAGACTGTAGCAACATGAACATCTCCCCCCCACCGCTTCTCCCCCCCAACAGTACGGCGAGCGTTACGGGACAAAATGCCTTCCACGACGTCCGCATCACCTACCTTCTCAAGTGATGAGGTTTGTTTACATAGATAATTTTAATACTGCCATCTACTGTTCAGTACCGTCTCAGTTCATCTCTCTCAACCTGCCGTAGTTACTTTCGAGCGTAATGGGCGATCTCACAATCGCTAGTTTGTTGGCTCTGGGCTGCCGTAGCGCAAAGATGTCTGCCTCCATGGCTGCGAGACCCGCTCCTATGTAATTATAAATAAATAATTCTAAGGCAACACAAATATTAAGGTTAAGAGGCTGAGCTCGTAGATGATGATAAATAACATAGTTATGTATAATATATTACATTTCTGACTGTATATCCCTGTAATTATTACACACTGTAGCTTTAAGGACAGAGGAAACAATCAGTACTTTTATGTAGCCATAAAGTTTTTTAACTGTTATTTTATATAATAGAGCAACAATACGATGACATTTTTCTAATGTAAACTAAAAAGGTTTAGATTGTGGAAGTTCTGCTCATCGTTTACTAAATGCCTAAACCTCACAGAGATGGGATGTACAGCATAAATGAGCATCCATGTTTTTAAGTCTTGCCAAATCCTTAATCTGATTTGATTTGATCTGCTTGTAAAAAAACTAAACTCGAGTTTTTTACCTAAATATCGTTTATTAAACCTCCTGTTTAAAGACATTGCTAGCAGCACAAAGTCTCTCCCAGCACCTGGATTAAACTAAAACAGAGCTTAACCATCTCATCAAAATAAGGTGGCTAATAGTCTGACAGCATGTCAGAGCAAATTAACCTGTGTTTTAATTATAGTTTCACTTCTCTCTACAATGGAAATCATAAGTGTTTCACTTTTGTTTTTTAATTGTTTTATGCAGCAGACTAATGACTTCCTGTTGTTATCTTTTAAGTTTGTCTAGTTTCATAATATGTATGAAAGAATCTTTTTTGTTTATTCAATCAGTATTTAATATAGCAGACACAATAAGTAGTAATAATATACTAAAATGTTTTTCATTCTGCATATTGTTAATGGAAATACAAGAATAAGCTAGGGTTAAAAGAAAAATGGCCACATGTTTATAATTATTAATCAGTCAAGAATTAGTACATTTAATATTAACAATCCCTATAGAAACCCATACGTTTCTGTTTGCAACTTGATAAAAACAAACAATAAAAAAACATAGCAAGGTTTGAATATTTACTTATGGCTCTGGCTTAGTCACATCTTCTAAAAATTTATAAACATTTAGTCATAGTTTTGAATAGAAAATCCCTTTATTGTCCCACAATGGGGAAAATCTAGTGTTTATAGTAGCAAAAAGATTATAGAAAAACATTGTCCTACAAATGTGAACCTTAGGAAATTGTATAAGAATAACATACTAAATTTATAAATTCTGCAGAGAAAATTCTGTGTTAATAAAGGAATAGTCCACCTCAAATAGGAAGAACCCATGCACTTTATAGCTCCTAAAACATTCCTACAGTTTGGATGAAATGCTTTATAGATGAGATCAGTTTAAACGCTCTGATTAACCGGTTAGTATTTGAAATATTTAGTCTCTGAAAGTGATGCTTCCGCTTTTTGAGCTGAGAGATTTGCAGGCAGACAGAGCTTCTGTTCAGCCCCTTTTAGGAGTAAACTGTCAGACATACAGCCGTGTTTGTTGACATGGCGACCCGGATGGCACTGCCAAAACCCAGAAAAAATGCTTTTTTTGGGTCACACTTCCACTAAATGCATTGTTGGGTTTATTTCCCTTCAGTTTGTTGAAACAAACATGTCATGGTCCCTCAGTTTGTTTCCAACAGGGATTATCACTTCTTAGAAGTGTACTCTGTAGCAGCCATCTGCCTTTTGTGAGCATTTACGTCACTAACCTCCTATTTTCTCCCAGTCGTCTATGAGACGCCATGTCAGAAATCGCCAAAAAGGGTTCAAGCTGTGAAAATGTTCTTCCTTCAGTGTATAAAGACCAACCATTTTTCAATGCTCATAATTTTGTGCTTTATTGTCAAGATTTTTTGACTACTTAGCTGTCGCTTCATTCACTGATCAGCAGAGAGGGAGCTGCTGGGGGTCAGAGTTTTGTCCAACAGCACGTCTAGGTGGAAGATGAAAATTATTCTAATACCAGATTTATCAGAATATAGATTGAAAAGAAGTTATTGGCTCTGGTTTCTGATGTCTGTTGTTCCACATTCCCCAAAACATGAGGATCAGTTAAACAGTCAGTCTGATCCCCTCCTGCATGATATTTGCAGCGTGGGGCTTTTTAAACGTGTGATATTTACAATCAGGGCAGGAGCATATCTGCGTTAACTGGTTTATGCTTGCTGAGCATAATCTATGCTTCAGATACCACACACACTCTGGCATATCAGAGATCTTCTCCTTTTCCTCCATCGCAAAATCTGACGTTTCTTCAACTGCGGGAAAATAAATAAAAAATAAATGCCAGGTAGAAGCATATGCTGCCACTCTTGGACTTTGAGCTAAAGCTTTATCCTCAGGATGCAGCATAAAGCCGCTCACTGCGCTCTAAGCTAATAGGTTTGATCCAGCAGAGAAATTTGTTCTACAAATTTCATGAAAAATGAAGGTGATTATTTACAACTGCAGTTTAATTTAACCCTTTATAGGGCAAGTTACCTTTTTGCATACTCCTTACAAATTGACTCCCCTCATCCCTGAGTGAGCTCTAGAAGCACAAGATCTATATCCAGCCATTCAACAAAGATGCTGCTACATGGCTGTACATCTTATTTTGGCATTTGAACAATTAGATGAGCCCTTTAATAATATATTACCCACTGTAAATTAAGTTGGAAAAAAAAGAAGTAAAAAAGCCAAGAAAAAAAGGTAAAAAGCTAATTGAAAAAATAAAAAGGAAAGTTAAAAAGTTAAAACAATTATATTTAGGTTTATAAACTAAAAAATGTAAGTGCCAATATCAGCATTAATGCCTCTAAGGTTTTGTGTTTCTTTCTCTCTGAGTGTTCTTCATGATTTTTTTTTTATAGAAGCACTTTTGTTATTTTTCTAAATATATTCGGGCAATTTGGCGTATCTTGTTATTACATTACATACATATTTTCCATCAAAATATCCATTTATTCTTAATGTTACAAAGATAATAAGGTCTTGTCCTGGATTCCAATAACACTATTGGCTTGACATTTTAATTTTCAAAGTATTTCACTGAGAACCCTATAAAGGGTTAACTGTTGACAGGTGTGGCTCTATTAGCCATTAGCCTACACTACTGAGAGCAAGTAGAAGTTAATAAGAAAGAAGACATCCGCCGCCGAGCACGCAGCATAAATATGGGTCAATTGGAACAGAAGCGTACTGATGACATCACCACACGCTCTGCTCGTCTGGAGCTGCATTTCACCTCCTGTTATTAATAGTCTCAAGATAATAATAATAATGAACACAGTCAGATAAACACAGAACAAATGAACATTTTGGCAAATAAAGCAAAAAAAATCCACCACCAGAGTCAGTGGTCCTTCACACACGGTTATGCAGAGAGGGCTGCTGCAGACGGGCTAACGTTAGCCCTGGCTGCCATTAGCCTCGGACGCACAAGTACACATATTGAAAAACGACCATCATTTTCTGTTAGTGTACAAATTAAACATTTAGATGGCATGAAAAAATATCCATAAACTAAATCCTTTGATGTAATCTGGTGCAGTAAGCCATGGTTCAGGCATTAAAGCTTTCTTTCATATCTGAGGGGCTGAGCGGCCAATGCTAAGCTGCTCATAGCTAGCCGTCCATGTTATCACAGTAAGAGTGATAGCGGGGACTTTTGTCTTTATTTTCCGTTTCAGGATCAAAAGGAGATTTAAAAACCAGCATTTAATGCTTGGTTCTAGCCTTGCTTAGAGCACACATAAAAAAAAAAAAAAAGATTTTCTTCTACCTAGAAACAATCATGGAGTCATTCTGGATGTGATATTTGAACCTGGATTTAGCATCTTACCTTAAAGATTAGCATGGTTAGCATAACTTTTCTGACCAAAAAAGGCTTTTTTTTTTAAAAACCTTTTTTATTCCAAAGTGGGGCATGCGCCCCCTGAGGGGGGCTCAGTGTAATTGCAGCGAGTAGTGTTAAAATTGGACTGAATCAACAATCAATTTAAAAAGAAAATTATAGATGAAAATTTTTACTTTAATTAAAATGTAAAAAATAAAATAGTTAATAGTTGTAAAAACACATTCTAAGTGGGAGATTTCTGATTGTAATTTTTTTCAGGTTTTACTTCAAGTGACTTTTCTTTGATTAACCTTCAAAAACTTTGACTCTTTTAATAATTAAAGGCAGACATCATTTAAATGATATCAAAGGTTGAGAGTTTAACCCAGAGAAAGCCTTTTTGCTCTACTTTACTCGCCCTTCATGTTATATGTGGCAAATCTTCTATCCCAGAATTACATTAAGACACTTTGAGGATTACAGTGTCCTGTAAAGCAGTGGCGGCTGGTGAAAAATATTTTTGGTGGGGCTGATATAGCCTAGTGTATGTCTCCAACTAATCCGGAATAAGAATTTGATTAAACAATTGGACAATACATACAATTTAACAGTAATGATTTAATTTACTATATAATAACAGTGATGATTTGGGTCACTGTGACGGGGTTCTTTGGCCTCCAAGAATCCAGGCTCAGTCGGGTTACCGGTGTTGCTGATTTATTGAGCTCAAAAAATCAAAACAGGGTGCAAAAGAAACTAAACATATACCAGATACTCTGGGCCTCAGCCTCCCTCCAGTTACCAGCAATGTAACAAAGAAACAGACAACAAAAATTGCCGCTTTTCTTCCCACAGCCCTCATTAAATAGTTTAAGCCCCTCACCTCAGGCTCTCTTATTTCTGATTTCTTCTCATTAATCAGTTTTGTCCATATATTACCTCCACAAACAATTAATTTACAAAAACAAATAATTTTTACAACTTAATTCTTTTACACAGATTCATTGACTTATTCAATTACACCAAACTGGGTTTGAACCCAGCAAAGACGCCGCCAGACTGAAGATGACAAGTCCCCGTAGCATAAACACGTACACACCCACACCCCCCCCCCCACACACACACACACACCCACACCCCCCACATACCACACACACACACGGCTAACCCCACTGAAATATTAAGTGTGCACCCTCAATACGCCAGCAGGTAACCAGGAACAGCTTGTGTGTTTTAAGTTCATGGAGCTACTGGGCTCAGCGCGAGTGTATTGGTCCTCACAAACGCAGTATAACAGGAACGTGTGTGTGGCGCGCAAAGTTAGAGAGGTTGTTTTAAGCGAGGAGGTGGATTCATCACAGTCACAATAACCATGACATGAAATGTTCATATCCTACAACAGGGATGTTCTTCTGGCAAACGGGTAGATAAATAAGGATCTCACCGAATTTGGTGGAAGCTGCATCTTCCTTGTTACGTTCGCCATCGTCCCTCTAATTGTCTGCACCTGCGCTTGGGTTCAGAAGCCTGTAAAAGCGCAGTATTTTCAGCGCCCCAAGACCATAAAGTTCCGAGACGCTGATTGGCCATTAAATTCACCTAGCAATAGTACATGATTGACAGATTCTCTGCAAATGTGGGTCAGTCTGATCAGCGCCCCCAGAACAGAGACGGTAGGAGTCTGTCTGTGGAAATCCACAAATTAATGACAGTAGATAGGGAAATGTAGTTTATATAATTTGTTTTGCTTATAGGTACACAGTCTAGAGAGTAAAACTGACATTTATGATTTAATTTCTAAAAATATATTTTACGTTTCTCTCTTCTTATCAGGGAGGGCGGTGCCCCAGCGCCCCCTATGGGCCGGCCGCCACTGCTGTAAAGATCTGAAGCCTTATGCATTTCTCTTCTAAAACAGCCAAATCTCCACTCAGTAACAGCTTCCTTTCTGAAGAGCGTTGCCATCAGTCCCTGTTTAGGCCACCTTTAGAGTTTCTACACGGCCTGTAAAGACGAGCGCAGATAAACCACCAACTAGGGGACAGCTTTAGTGAGCACACAAACAGTGCAGCAACAGGTAGGGCAGGGGCAGCAGTCAGTGGCCTCTACCATGATTATTAAAGGAAACGACTTGGTAGACGATTGATTCCTAACTGACCACCTCTGACCTGCGCGTTTCTGATTGGTTCATGGCAATAACAAACCTGTTCAATGTGGATCCTAACGCCGTCCTGAAGCTGAGTTTGTTTCGGTTCTTTGTGTTTTCCTCACAGATAGAGGTAGAGAAGCTAAAGCGGGTCATCCATTCAACGTGAAGCGTTCCGTCGGATCAACAGCAAGCCTGAAGCTCAGCTGCCAGCCTGCCGACCGTGGCGTCGGCCATGGACCGGCGGCTGATGGGATGAAGAGACGGTGGACAATCCAACCAACCTCCTTCTCCACAATCTTCAAAAAAAAAAAGAAAAAAAAACTCTTACTATATTTGTACAACTTTTTTTTTTGCACATATCTTTTTTTTTCAAGCTAGGTGTAATTGACAGTTATGCTGTATGTTTCTGTGTTTTGTTAATTTTGCCAACACAAAACAGAATAACTGAGGCCTTACTTCAAACTAATGTGCTGGACGGCTCCGCCCCCTGCTCTCTGCTCGCCCCTCCAGCATTCCTTCGGGGACGGGATTCGCTCTCAGAACTACTGACTGCCCAAAGCAGAGGCTGCTTCTCCTCATCTAGCTTCCTTTCTCTCATCGTTTTATGATGCACACATCTTTGATTCTCCTTTTTTTTTTAAAGTTGGATCTATGAGCTGGTTTGAGTTGAGATCTTGGGATTCAAATGGTTTCTTTCTTCCATGGCAGCTGTCTCTTTGTGGCTGCAGAGCTTTATGGGGCTTTTTGCTGTTTTTTTTTTTGTCTTATGTTTTCTAACAATTCTATCCAGGGTTACACTACTGTGCCTGCTTAAATACAGAAACTAAAGTATATTAAATGTTTATAATTGGGATCAGGAAGACTTGCATCATGATTATTATTGTATATGTATATTTTTAAATCTATGGATTTGTCAAAATCTATATAGTGGGCCTTTTTCTGTGCTGGTCTCTTCTATTTTTGTGACACTTTCTCTGAGAATGTTCTCATAGCTATAATATATATATATATATATAGAACACGGATGTGCAAAAAAAAAATAAAATTTGTAAAGTTGGAAGGAATCAGAGGGGTGTGAGCATCTCTTGATCCAAGGTGAATCATCTGATTGGATCTTTGTCTTCCTGCTGGTCCCCTCCTACGTCCCCAGTACAGGAGATAAACAAACTGGAAGCTCAGAACGGCAGCAATAAAACACATTCAAACACCGACGGTTTGATGGTTTGATTTGGCAGCACTGACTGCAGGTGAATGCAAAGATCTCCAACCACTTGGAACGAGCAAAAATTCGTCTCGGTGTGAAGATTGATCCTTCCGTCTTTATTTCTCTTCCTTTTTTGGACAATTTTGCTGTTTTTTTGTTTTGTTTTAAAGCAGACAAACTTTTTTTGCAAGTTTCAAAGTTTGTACTTTTCATAGTTTATTCCAACTCTATTGTAACGAGATGGATTTAAACTGCTGCAGGTTATTATCGGGAGGTAGTTTTCAGTCCAACAGGAAAAAAGGAAACACGCAATTATCCCATTAGTCCATCAAAGCGTTGGGCTCTTAACCTCTGAGAATGGATGCATTTATTGAATAAAAAAATTAAAACCTCGGTTTAAAGATATCAGTCAGCCATCAGTCAGGATAAAACTAAAATACTGTTTCACTTCTGTATTGTTTTATTGGTGTACTGGTGATTGAATCTCTGTACAAAATAAATCTAACCTGAACTTTTAAACCAAGGCCTTAATTTTCTGCACTGAGGAAATGTTTAATATAAGATTCTCACTGTATCATATTTAAACACAAAAATTGAGTTGTAGTTATTCACAAGACTGCTAAAATAAAGCAATCCATTAGAATCTAAACTGGAAATATGAAATCCACCAGAGGGACATGTTGGAGCCTTCTTTCAGCCAGCTGACCAGCAGTGAGGTATGAGGAGCTCTTTAAAGGGACCTCCGCTGCCCAACATCCTCTGAAATCTTGTGAATAAACTTTAAAGACCAAATTGGTGTAAAAGCTGTTTCTAACACCATCTCTATTGGGGACCTAATTCTGCCTTCAGGTTCCTCCTCAGGCTAATTTTACTCCTCGCTGCTTGTCAGACAGAAAGTTCTGGAATTTTCTGCTATTCATGGTTGGAATCAAAAACCTGAAAAAGAGAATCACAAACTGTATTTCCAACCTAAGCTGTAGTAATGTTTTAGCTCCAGCTAAAATGCATCTGCTTCCCGTCTACAGCACAACAGTACGGTGTTTCTTGTAAAGCATATCTTGGTGTTCTTACTTTGATTTCACACTTTTGGGCTCCAGGGTGTTTTAGCCACGTGAAATCTGACCACACTGAGTTCAACATTCATGCAGTGCACCGATGACGCCATTAGGCACGTTTCCTTTGTGCTCTCAAAGACAATTACCTGCCTGGAAATTTAATGAAATAATGACTTTGTTGGCAAAGAGGAACTGTACCAGAAAATAGCTTCCACTTGTTCTACATGGAGAATTCTGTTTACAAAAGTGGTATCTTTGCATGAGCTGATGTTCTTTGCAGAAATGAATAAATATCATCTCTATTCCCCTTCCCAGACTGTTCCTTCTTTCTTTGGTTGGTTTTGTAAAGATAGACGTACCGCCTTTAGGTCTTTTCATGTGGGAAATGCAGATAGTTTTCATGGAAAATACTGAGTGAAAACTATCGACTCCAACCCCGGGGAGCTTCTGATAAAATGCAGAGATTCAGTCGAGTGTTTCTGGCATCTGACCTTCTATGTGGGCTGGAGTTTTATTTTAGCGCTCTTAACCACCTTAAAATTCCCAGGAGGTGGGTGTGTGCAGCTCTGAGATTACTATTAAAAAAACATCATTGATGGATTTCAATTTTAGTTAAAGTGTGAAAACAGACTCAGAACAAACCTTTAAAGTAAAAGAAAAGTCTTACTTCAAATGAATCTAAAAGGATTAATAAAAGGAATACATTCCTCTCTACTGCAGTATACCTAAATAAAATCTGGTGCACATCTGCCCTGAGAAGGCACAAAATTCATGAAAAAACTGGAAATAAGACTTAGAGCATCTCGCATAAGAATGCTTAATTACCAAGATGTAGCCTCAAACTAAACTGATGGACCCAGCAAAAGGAGTGATTATCAATAATTTAGCAGAGGGGTCGAACTGATGGGAAAAGAAAGCTCAAACATTTGTCTAGTTTGCCGCAAACCATGTAGGAGAGACAGTAACCATGACGATGTACTGTTAGTGCTCCGGAGAGATGATGCTATAGCTAAACATTCTCTATTGTACTACTGCCATTAACCACCTTATTTATAGATGTTCGAGATCGGCCTGTTTTTCAGTGTAGTCCTGTTTCTCTGACTGACTGGCGGGATGTGCTCTTACAGTTGCCTTTTCTGTGTCTGCTTCTGTCTCCTTGAACCCCAGTCGGCCTCAGCAGATGGCTGCTCACACTGAGCCTGGTTCTGCTGGAGGTTTCTCCCTGTTCAAAGGGAGTTGTTCCTCTCCACTATCGCTACAAGCATGCTCGGTGTGGCGCTATATAAATAAACTGAATTGAATAGAATATTTAAACGTGTAAGTTCCATTCCGTGGCTAAAAAAAACTGACTCTCCTCTCAACCCTAAATCCACCTTCCTAATGGAGAAACATGCGTGCAGCATCATAATATGTCGAAACTTTTCTTAAAGCTGGTTGAACCCGATGGTGCCTTCATGTTGTATCGTAATTATATAAAAAAAAATTTAGTTGGGAAAAAAAGCTGACTGAAAAGTTATTAAGCCTAGTTAACAAATATATTTAGGTTTATAAACTAAAAAAATATGCCAGTATCAACATCAATGCATCTAAGGTTATGTTGGACCAAAGGAAATTTGTTTCTTTCACTCTCAGAGGTTTTTTCATGAATTTCTTATAGAAGCACTTTTGTTTTTTTTCTTAATATATTCTGGCAAATTGAAGTTTCTTGTTATTACATTGATTCATTTCTGCCATCAAAATATCCAAAAATTTTTTTTATGTTACAAAGATAAGGTCTTGTCCTGGATTCCAATAACACTATTTGCTGAAATTTGGATTTTCAAAAGATTTCAATGAGTGCCATATAAAGAGTTAAGTGCTCTCTCCTGTTGTGTTTGTAGCCTACACAATGCTGTAACATAAATACATATAAAAAAAAACATACATCACCATTTAAACCTGTCATTTTTTAAATGAGTTTGTTTTTATCAGATGCGCGCTAGAAGTCACTGCGTTTGATGCATCCTCTTCTTCCTGCAGGAGATGCATTAGGAAGTCTATCTTACCCAGGCAGCAGGTTAATCTGATCCATGGATCCAACATGTTGCTCTTCTCTACCACAACAGAAGCACTTTGACACAATGCACTGATAATTTCCACTTTAGCAGATCACATGAAGGCAGCATAACTGCAGATAATATCGGGAAAAAAACATATAAGCAGCTGCAAAATTCTTGAGACAGGAAATACATTTAGTTAATGAAATACTGTCGTAATATTTATTTTCAAATTATTCTTTATCAGTCAGGGTGAAATATAAACCATAATAAAAGTCTTCTTAATAGATCTTTATTAAGAAAGGTCTTTGGGAACACTCAAGGTCACTGTACATATATAGATAAGAACAACATAAACCTTAAAAAAGGGACAGTCAGAGAGAATAGGCTTAAATGGGTGTGTTTGATTTAAACAGAGGTAAAGCATGGATTTTACAGATGAATTTGGGAACAGAGCTTTCTGTTGCTCTGCTCCCAAAGGCACCAGGGTGGAAAAGGAGAACCGAGAGTCGGATTGAAGAAGATCTGAGCGAACAGATAGGGGTAGATCCAACAAGAATGCAGGGGAGAGGCTGTGGATGACCTTGAATATAAACAGAATATTTTGAATCGAATTCTTACCTTGACTGCGAGCCGTTATTGAACAGCCAGAGAAAAGCTCAAGAAAAGGAGGCTGATGGAAATTTGTGGAAAAGCTGGAGAGGGGAAAAGGTAGCAAGCAGAGAATGTCAGACACAAAGAGATCTGAAAGAGCAGGAAGCCAAGCTTTGGACAGCTTATGGGGCAAATGTGATCAGTAGAAATTACCCTATTGAAGTGGAAAAAATAATAAAAGAGAGGCAAGAGAAACTGTAGGGAAAATACCAAAGAGAAATCTCATGAAATTATATGGAAATAGGCTCTTAGTAAATGCAATGGGATGCTCAGAGGGATTAAGTGCTTAAAGAAGACTAAAAGGAAAAATGGATCTTTCTTCCCTTCAACTGCTCCATATGGCATTCTGTTTATTGTTCTGCAACATATCTGGTCCATAGCCATTGAGTTGATGATCAACTGGAGCTCCCAGACTAAGCAAAGCTAGTTTGAAGCTTTTATTAACTTGAAGAGGTGGATCATCCAGGTCCAGAAAGTAAAAGCCCTTTACAGAAATCAGTTCCAACCACTTGGATTTCCAGCTTCACAAAGCAGACTGATCACCTGAGGGAATAATCACCTAGCCTGACGTAGTCCAACTCAATTCTAGTCAGAATATGAGTCTGATGCTGCTCCATAGAGCTGTGATTATGGGGCGTGTTTCGAACGAACCAGGAAAAAAAATGCCTCTGCACTCAATTGGATAGACCTACAACCAATAAGAGCAACGGAGTGCGTGACGTATGTTAAGCGAGGCATAGTTGTTGTCCACAAAAATCAAAGCGTGCAGTTTCACGCCTAGAATAAGAAGATGAGACTTGATCGCGTTTCTCTGTTCCTCTTTTAAAATTAATTTGCTGTCGATATCTTCTAGAACAGACCTAATAGCAGAATCTACTCACCTCAACTCTCCAGCGGCAGCCATTATTGTTGTCACCCAAGCGCGCTTTGGTCATGTGGTTGATAACGTTACTGTTTGTCATCTGTCCATCATCGTATAAAGCCCGCCCTGACAATTTGATTGGATCGCCTGACAGTGGGCGATCGTACTCGCACTACTATGGAGCAGAGCCAGACCGAACTTCCCCGAACTCAAACCTTGTGGGCGGGACTAAGTTCTGACTGGCACCCAGGCTAATAATCACCTGGTTAAATGAACAAAACGAAGGAAAACAAGAAAAAGATTTTTACTTTCTGAACCATATTTATCCTCTCTCTTAACTTTGTTAATTGTTGGTTGTTTACACATAATCTACATCGAAGGTTGTATTTAGTTATTTAATTTTGTTAACTTAACTTTATTTCCTGTGTTTGCAGCTTTTCTCCTTAGCAGGGTTTAATCTGTTAATAATTTTTTTTAGTTTACAAAACATATAAGTAGTACCTTACACATATCATTTCAAGGCACTTTACAGTTCACCAGATCATCCAGTCAGATTGATTCAAAGTTTTCTATCTAAGGAAAACCAGTTGATTGCATCGACTCATTGACTCGAAGGCAATCTCTCACACTAAGCATGCTTGTAGCAACAGTGGAGAGGAAAAACTCCCTTTTAACAGGAAGAAACCTCCAGCAGAATGTTAGCGGCCATCTGCTGAGGCCGACTGGGGTTCAAGGAGACATAAGCAGAGACAGAAAAAGCAACTGCAAAAGGCGGCCCCGTCCAGGAAACACAGCCAGGCAGACCAGCTCCAAGCCAGCTCCCATGCCAGAGGACGAAGAGAGCACATCCAGCCAGTCACGGTCAGAGAAACAGGACTACACTGGAAAACAGGCTGATCTCCAGCATCTATA